GCGAGGCTCGTCCTGCTCCCCCGCCCCTGCTCGGGTGAGGGCGGTTCCCGTCGCCACCGGCGGCCGGGGAGCGCGGCGGGGGTGCGGGAGGTTCCCCGGCCGTGTGGGTGCCGCCGGGAGCGGCTGGACGCGGAGGTCAGGCCGCGGGGAGACGCAGGCTGATGTGCCGGCGGAGGGGCTGAACCGAGCCAGAGCTTGTCACACCAGCTTGAATTACTTAATTTATTATTTTTAAAGAAGAGTAGAAGCATATTGTGTCGAATTGTTTAGCCCGCCATTCCCCAAACTTCTAAAAGTGTAAGTCGGGAAAAAAACCCTAGTATAGTCCACTTGAAGCCTTGATATATGACTTAAAGCCTTATGCTTCTACTCTCTGCATGCAGCCCTTGCTTTTCAGGGGCGAGGTACAGGAAGGGTAGGCCTCCGTCACCTCTTGGTTGCTGGGGTGAGACCAGAAGCATAGTTCAGTAATACAGAAAAATCAGTGTTCGGGCTCTGACTGCAGGTTGAACTGTGTTGCAGCCACCTATTGCAGGTGTCCGTACACTACAGACTCTCTCCGCCAGTTCAGCTTTGTTCAAAAAATGCTGACCTGTTAGTCATGAGGTATTTTCTGCCCTTCTTCAGCTGTCTTAAACATGTAGAAGCAATACAAAATGACTGTCATATCCTCTGATTTCTCCAAATGCAGTCATGTGCCCTTGCCTTGCTTGGATCAAGTTTATCTTGCCAGGTGATCCACAAGTGCACAGATCTTCTGGGAATCACAGCCTGTTACATACAGCTGCTAATTCTGGTTGTCCTGTGGGAGATCCTGCACACGCGGCTCTTTATCTCACTGAGTAGTTTCGTGTCACTTTGTGAACACACAGGGGCTGGTGACAGTGCCTTATTTCAGCCTAACAAAGCAATTTTCCTTTGGTTCCTTTTACAGGCAAAGGAAAAAGATGTAATTCACACACAAAGTGCAGTTTGGCTGGAGCCCACCACAGGAGCGTGTTCTTCACTAACTGCGGACCTCAGCCAAGTGAGCGATAGTGAATACTCTGTTACTACAATTTTGAGGCCAGTACTACTATAAGTGTTTCAGGTCACCTTAGTGAGAAAGCCATTGTGTGTGTCTTCATTCTAGCATCCATATTCTAATTTATTTGATTTACAGTGACAAAAGGAAGAACCTTTTTGGCCTTAAAACCCTTAAAAACAAGACATGTGCTGGCAGTACTTTTTCTAGTGGAAGTGGCTGTCTAAAGTGTCATAAGTGAATTAAAATCAAGTATGTGTGTTAACATGGTGTTTCCCTGGGCAAGCAGAACTCTTTGGATTTATTCTGCATTTTTCCTACCATATTTGAATGGAGAACACTAGGCAGTTTAACAGAAGTTCATGAGCATTACATTTGATGTGTATTAACAGCATTTACTGAAATTTATAACAAGTTACAAGTATATTGTCATACACAGAATTTTACTTCTGTTTGGACTGCAACTATGTGACTGTGTGCTTTCTGTGCACTACCACATAGCAAGTAGAGATTTTATGTTAGTGTCAGAATTAAATTCACACTTTCACTGTTGGGAATTGGATGCCTTAAGATTCTTTTACCCTTCAGAATTATTTTATTTAATTAGTGAAATAAGATTGCATATGCTGGTTGGACCTTCAAAAACTGAAAGAGGAAGTGATCTGTTTTTGAAAAATTTTGTTTGCTTTACATACCCGTTTATTTGGTAAAGCAAAGATCAAACCAGTGGTACTCCTTAGGTTCTTTTGCTCTGTTAATTACCAGCAAGAGCATGTGGTCTAATTCTTTATGGGAGATACACTTCAATAATTTTAAGGACATGGGCTCAACAAACTGGATAAGGAATTTTTCCCTGTTGTGGGTAGTAAGAATCATAGATGATTTTCACGTTAAATGTAGATATCAAGTTAATAGTATTCTTTTATGCTAATTTTACTTCACAATTACCATTTGAGTTTGGGGCCAGTATACATTAAGAAGGGAGATATATGTAAGTTTTGTCACCACCTAATAGTTTGATAATGCTGCTACAGTATGCTTTGGACCCATCTTTTTTATTAATACAGTTGACTGAAAATTGTTCTGCATTTGGGTCATGATCACTTCTGGATAAGTGTTATTTCTGTCACTGAAATATAATTGAATTTTGGTGCATGAATTTTGAATGTTAAATTAAAAGTATTTTACTTAAAAGATAACCTCTAACAGGCCTGTAGCATCAGCGTTTGAAAAGACAAGATTCTGTAATTATTTATCAAAATCTCTTGCATAGTGAATATAATAAAGGACAGTTAATTACAAATGGTTTTATCTAACTTTTAAAATTACTGATTTAATGATATGGTATTCTCTTGGGCTTTTTTGCTGAAACTTGAATTTATTTTAGAGAATCAGAGCCATGTATTCCAGTCTCAGAGAACTCAAGATTTTGTTGTGCTTGGCACTTGGTAAACACCTGTAGGAAGGACTGTCTAAGCCCCTGTTCAAGTGACAGTCCTGTACAGAAATGGTCAGAAAGGGAAGGTGATCTGTCACATAACCATGTGGTGTCTGAATGTCACTCTGTCTCACTCTGAGAGAGGGCTCAGAAATTCTGCAGGTTCGTGTACATGCTGACTGCAATTCAGATCCAAGGAGAGACAAAATCATCATCTTAAAAAGCTGAAGTTGAGAGCAGTGTTTTTTGCTTGCCTGAGAAAAGTGGTTGATAGGCTAGAAAGGGCTGCTACTTGGAGGAATCTTGATGGGATGGGGAAGGGGGCTGACAGAAACCTCATAAATTCCAGCAAAGGCAAGAAGAAAGCCTTGCATTTGGGATGGAATAGCCTGATGACTAGAACAGGCCATGGGAAGACTTGATGGAGAGAAGCCTTGCAGAAAAGGACCTGTGTGTGGTGGTGGACCACATGCTGAATAAGAGTCCGAAGGAGAACTGCATCGTGGGCTGTATTAGTAAATGCAGCTGAGGGACAGCAGGTCAGGGAAGTGACTCTTCCCCTCTATTTGGCACCTGTGAGACTAGCAAGGCGGTTAGGGGCCTGGAGCATCTGATACTTGAGCAGAAACAGAGAGGTGGATTTGTTCAGCCTTAAGAGAAGGTGCTGGAAGGGGAGATCTTACTGCTGTGTGTTGGAAGCTGCAGAGCCAGGCTCCTCTTGGAGGTGCATGGCAGTGGGATGAGAGGCAATGGACACAAGCTGGTTTAGCTGTGATGAAGGTCATTTTGGTTTTGGTTGGTTGGTTTGTTTTTAACCTGGAGAACGGTCAAACACTGAAGGAGGGGTCTAGTGATGTTTGGAGCGTCCATCCATGGAGGTGTTAGAACTTGACTGGACAAAGGGCCTGTGCAACCACATCTAATTCAGCTTGTATTGGGTGCCATATGAAAATCCCTCCCAACCTAAACTGCCTTGTTGTTCTGTGATTACTCAAAAACCAGGCATTATAGATTTAGAAATTAGTTGTTAAAAGTTCTGTCTAAGAAACACAAACCCAATAAATTATGCAAGAAACCTTAAGATTTCTTTGAAATTGCACCTGGAATGAACATGAGGTCATCACAAAAACTTGTAATGCTAATTTTATTTGCCATATTATATGAACTTAAAAAAAGGGAAGACCTTGCATATTTTCTTATTGGTAATTTATGGCTTAGAATTTTTGTTACAAAAACTACTGTAATGTTTGAGAGAACATTAAGCAGGAGACCTGATGAGAATGTAAGTACTTTTTGTATTTCTTTCTTAGTTTCTCACACCTACTCTGCTGTGAATTTTAGGCAGAAATTTAGGCCTTAGAGATTTGTAGACACTGTCATGAACGCTAATTTACTGTCTGGAAATTTTTAAGGTGAAGAAAATGACTATTCAGAGCCCTGCATGCAGACAAATCTTTGAATTTAAAACTGCTCTTTATTCAGATCACCTACTCCAGACATACGGCCATTGGTTACATTAACTCTGCTTTCAGAGTGGTCCAGTCATCCAGGTCATCCAAACTGTCAATTTGGACTCTTATGTCATTAAAGATTAAGGACAAAATTATAATGGATTTAGCTTAGTCTGCTATATTGTAAGACAGAGTGTGCCGTGGGTTTCTGTGAGTTCACGTTGTGTGGTAAGTTTAAAGTATTTCTGTCATCACTTCTTCAAGATGATTCAGTATTAAAGAAAAGCATGACATGGCTACTAAATATCTTTAAGGAACCAATGTTTAATTAATTGTAGCTCATAAATTCATGGATTAGCATATAAGCTGTCATGAAATTAAACATGCATTCGAAGAGGAGGCACTGCAGTTTAGAGTATGATGCTTTTCATCTTTTGCTTATTGCAAAAAAACTCAAAATGGAGTTCAGTTGTGAGATACAAGTAACTGTTTAAAAAGTGTTAGGGATTGTAGTGACCAAGGTACAATACAAGAACCAATGTATTATCTTCTTGCATTTAAGCTACTGTTAGAATGGTAGAAAGAGTAAATCAACACAAAAGGGTTAAAGTTCTTTTTACATCCCAAAAAAGGTGAAGTCACCCATTGCATGTTTATTTGAAGATTTGGACAAAGAACTCTTAACATTAAATTAATTGGGTTAGAAGGGGATTTGTAAGATTGCTTGATATTATGTGTCTGTAGTTTGAAGTGGGGGTGATTTAGCAATGACTGCAAAGTCAGTTGATGAAATAATTTCCTTCTGACATTTGAAAAAGGAAAAAGTATCACTGAAACCTTACAGATTGACTTCCCCTAGCTTGGTCTACTCTCAGTAAATACTCAATTTTCCAGAGTTTTCAGTTTCTTAGCGGGGTGGGATACATAAACGAGGAGAGTCTTTCTGTTAGCTTTTTGTTCTTCAGAAAAACACATAATTGTTTTATTTGTAGCTGTGTTGGAAATGGTGAGTAATCTGCAACTATTTTCCTTTAGAAACTCGGCTTCCCTTTGCCAGAAGCACTTTCAGTTTTCTTACGGGCCTAATGGAAGATGTTTACCTCTTGACTCCTTTGAAGGTGAGGGAGATTTGTACATATCCTCCCTGCAGCCTACAGGTAAGGGCTGTGTCTGAACTTTGAGCAGTTCAGTCGAAGACTCAGGGTCGTCAGCTGGTGTGTGCCTTCAAGTTCTCTCTGCCTGCAGATATCATAGATCTCAGAAAAATCTCAACCTTCCCTCCACACTTTCACACCATAGTTAGATGTGAGAAGAATAATGTCTAATTTAATTTTTAATAATATGTTTGGCTGTGTGAAAAACAGGAATATATTTGAATCTGTTACGTTCTGCTGTGCCTCATCTCTACAAGGAAGATTATGCCAGTTTAATTATTTTCAATTAGTTTGGTTACTGGAAGAGGAAGATCAGGGAAAGCCTGATGCAGTTGCTGTTGTGATGTAGCACAGGTACTTTCATATAACCAAGCTGACACGTGTCTTTTTACTGGCACTTGTGACAACCTTTCTCATATGTATCTGCAGTTCAACTTCTTGTTTTTGTTAAAAAAGGAGTACACAGAAAGAAAATCTCATTTAAATAACCTCTTTATACAGTATTAAAACTACAAAATTACGTCACAATAATTTTTTCCTTCCCCTTGTGTGCATTCATCATAATGGTATTCTTTTATATTACTCATATCCTCTGTAGATAAATGCTATTATATACAGTTCTACATATCTTTCATGTAGAGAAATGAAACTCCAAAGTTATGTTTTATGCATATACAGGAAACAGAATTCAGGCTGCTTATGTACCTACCAGTCCTGCAAATATTTCAGCAACCTGTTTAAACCCCCTGTTAGGTGATGCCTTAGTCATTTTCAGAAGGGGTCAAATGCAATTTGGAGTTCAAATCATCATTCAGGATTCTTTTAATCTTTCTAGGAAATGGACTTCCAAAATTAATTTTATTTTGGTGTCTTTTCAGGACATGTTTTACAATTTTTAACATAATTGAGAATGTAAATTGTCAAAACTTGAACTCTGATCAAGCAAAGCATCTAATTGGAAGTTTTTTTCAAAAGCTTCCATCTATTGTTATGCTGCAAAGCGTGTTTGCATCTGCCTTAATTATTTAGCTATTTTTTTGTTAGTGTTGTTTTATCTATGAAAAATGATACACAAAGCCTGCAAATAACTGGAAATAATATATTTAAATACAAATACAGTATCTAGATTTTCTGTAGTTAATATTACTCAAATGAGATTTTGGAATACATGTGATTCTTGGAAAAACTGATTCACCTTATTTTGCTTTATTTTAAAAGGTGATTCTAAATTACTGCATTTCTGTAAGCCTTTGTTTTTTAGGGGTTTCTACCTTGGTGAAAGTATACTGGACAAGTGTTGAACTTGAAAGCTGCTTTTAGGATGTCTGAAGATGATGAAAAAGTTAAACTCCGTCGAATTGAACCTGCCATTCAGAAATTCATTAAAGTGGCAATCCCAACAGATTTGGAAAGGCTAAGGAAACACCAAATAAATATTGAGAAGGTCAGTGTTCACTTTTTACTAACGTAGTTCTTTTTACAGTATAGAAGCAGTCATGCTGCAAGATTATATAGAGATTTTGATGAAAAATTGATTATGAAATGCTTTAACTCAAATCTGGCTAAAAACGAAACTTGTGTATTGTAATTCAGTGTTACAAAGGCCTTTAAATTTGTATCAACTAATTAATCTACAGAGTGAGAAACATTACTATTTTGTGTTAAATAGTTGCAAGGAGAGCAGTGTAATATTCTTACTTAATTTTTAAGTCACAGCGGTTTGCTGCCAACTATTCTGAGTAATTTACTGTTTATACATAGCTTTTTCTCTACATATTTTTAAACTGAGTTGATAGAAATAGAAAGATTGAATTATTTAAGTAAATAGAAAAAGAGTTGTATGAAAAGTGTAGCATGTGTATATGCTTCTTGTTGACATTAGCTTACATTTGACAGTGAAGCTGAATATGCTTCCAGGAAGTTACATTCTTGCATACACGGTGGCAGTGCCTGTACTGTTAAAATAAACATGCCCAGGACAGTTGTCTGCCATGAAATGCCCTATGTCCATATTATTAAATCCTCATATTCTGCAGAACAGGGTGGCTTCATCCACACTGTTAATGGGAAGTAGCCTCTGTTCTGTGTTCATAACTCCTTAGCTGTTTTCAGGAGCTGTTTATGTGAGTGAGCTGTTTGGCATTGGCCAGGGACAGTTCTGATCATTTAACAGCACAGATGACCAGATTTCAGACTTGAAACATTCTCAGTCTCTGTTTGCTAGTGTAGATATAGCCTGTAGAAACAGAGAAATTGGTTTGTTGAGGAAGGTAGTAAAAAATTTACTAAAACAGGTGACACCAATATAAACGAGAAGAGAGTGAGTGACTCAGAAACATACTTACAGTTGTAATATCAATATTGCAATGGAAGTTTTTAAATGACCACACAAGACTTATTTGTTTAGAAAAGATTATACTTAACCACCACTGAAAAATCCCTGACAGTGAGCATCTGTAGTTCTACACAGTTCTGCACATGTCTCTAAAAGAAATCATACCTTGTATTTATTTGAACAGGCTTATTCACAAGGTATAAAATCAAGTGTATATGTAAATCTGGATGGTGTAGGACAACCATCTGCATTTTTTTAACACTTTGGGAAGGAATAAAGAAATTGAAAGAAAATAAGTGAACATGATTTCCTGAAAGGTGTGGTCTGAAGGGTGTGTGTAATGTATTTTAAAACCGTTTTGCATTTTGCTGCTGTTACTTGTTCACAAATTTTTGCCATAAATTTACTGTAACTTTACTAAGTGAGTAACCTTTTGGATGAAGTTTTCCATGCCAGGTTTCTGCCTGGAGTAGATGGGGATGGGGGGTGGGGGAGAAAATAGTTCCATGTATTTGTTTCTGAGAACATAGTCAGGAAATAATGTGTTGTTCAAGTGATAGTAATTTCTTTTAATAAGAAATGCTTAGTTTAAGTGATAGTAAGTGATTGATAGCCTAGTGGTAATTTCTTTTCAAATCAGTGATGTGTGCTGGAATACTTGAGATGTTTTTGTGGGGTGGTTTTTGTCTGGACTGTACTTTTTGCTGCGCCTCAAAACCTGCCATTTTTTGGCCAAGATGTATATTCTGGAAAAAAAAGGTGGTTTGCAGGTACTCAGTAGATACTGGTTGAACATCACCAGCTGAAAATAGCTAAAGATTTACCCAACACTAAGGCATGCTCCTGTGCTTAGAAATTAGCAGAACTAATTCCTGGAGTTGCTAATTTGATTGGTCCTGCATCAGAGAATGAAAACAGGGAGGTGATTTTTCTGTGTTCCCATTGTCTCATCCTCTTACTTTCCCTTACTTGTGTGCAAGAGAAAACTCTTCCTGGCTCATGTAAATAAAGGATAAAGATTTAGGCGGGGGGAGCTTGTGAAGAAGCATCTCAGGTGGGAGGTGAACATGCAGAAATGATGGCTGACTATGGGATGAGAGAAAAACTGGGATAGAGGAAGAGTTGGGGCTGCTGGGACTAATGATGGAAGAAGTCATTTGACTGTTTCCTGGTAAGGCTGTATTAAGGATATAATAAGGATATGAACTGCAATATTCACAAACTGAAAAGTGTATTAGTATGACGTTTGCCTGAAGCATAACTTCTGAATGAGGTGACCTATTTTTTCAGTCACAGCATGTTGTTTACTCTTTGTTTTTCCACATTTGTGTAATTCATTACATCACCTAGATGCCAGCTGATTCAGCTTTTTTTTCCTTGAATCGTCTGGTTTCAGCAGCCCCGTTCTGAGGTGGCCAGGAGCAGCTTTCTGTTCTTCAGCTTCTCCCACAAAGAACATTTAATTGAGTTACTCTGCACTGTAGCCCTCATACAGAGGAGTCAGTATTAGCTTGCTCTTGGGTGTGATGATGGGGGAGGAAGGAGACCCAACTTAAATAGCCCTGGAGAGGTGTACAGCCCCCAGGGATCAGCGCGTACGTCTCTCGGTGTGCGTGGCCTTTACCTAGCAGTGGCCACAGAGCTACCTAAGGGCACCTAATGAAGAAGAATGTGGAACAGAACAGGATTCAGAGGTGCCTAGAGGAGAGCATTGTAATAACAGCTTTTCCATTCAAGCTGTTTCATTCAAATAGAGACAGTGTTGGTAGCTAGGTTGTTCCCTTCTTTCTCTAACCAGAAGTTGCACAACTGGTCATGGAAGCAATGTGCATTTGCTGTAATCCACCAGGAGGGATTTCTTGGTTGCAGAGAGGTAGAGGTTTTGGTCCCTAGTGGGGTTATGTTAAAATTACGTTAAAAGTTACATCTTCAGGTCATCACTTCAGTTAACACCAACAGCATCAATGAGTGTGGAGCAGTGAGGTGTACCATTTTTGAGTCTTGAGGAAGGCATCCAGAAATGAAGGGATGCAGTTAATAACTACCGGCAAAAGGGTGGCATAAAAGCTACAGCCTTGTCTGAGAGGAACAAGCACGTGATCACTGGGAAAAGGTAGTCTGTTGATGGGAGGAAAGAGCTGACCTGCCAGTGCAGATTGGGAAGTGGTTAGAGGTACACAAATGGTTTTGTTGCACTTTGAAGGTAGAGATAAATTTTTGATGTGTGTCAGGTAGTAGTTAGGGAGAGACAATGGAGGGGATGGGCCTAACAACACTGCTTGATTTTTTTTGAAGAGTATTACTTGGTACAGCTAAACAGATTCTTTGTTAAGTGTTGTCCATATATGTAAAACCTTCCTCACTTTAGGATATATCAAGAAGCTTGAAAAGGCATTGGGTGCTGCAATAAGAAACAGAGATCTGATCAATTATTACCTTGTGTAGTACTTACCGGGTGTGAGAGATGATCTTGGGAACTGCTGTGTTTTGCAGAACCTGGTCAGTGAGGACGGGTAGCCAGTTACTGGTTGATCCTGCTGAAAATCTCTTTATGTATTTAGACAAAGAGTAATTACACTGTATCTAGCCAGATAGTGTTACCATGGTGTCAGGGTAGGGGTGAAATACCTTCCACTTAATTCAGCCATGTGTTGGTCAGCTGAAGTCTTTATTGGCCCAGCAACTCATTTGCATCAAGCATTCCTGTTTTGCAGATGGAAGGGGAGATCATTGCAAGAATAGTTTTCTGTGTCTAGAAGAAAATGCAGAAAATATTAGCACTCAGCATAAAATGACTCTTTAGGTTAGTTCTGATGTAACAATTTGTTCAAAGAATTGTCAGAGAGACCCATGCTTAGCCAGAGTCTAATTACAGACAATACATACTGCAGTGTTTCCATAATGACATTCAGTGACCACAATGAAATACCAAGGTGCTTTATTGAGCAGTTGAATTTTATATTTTGAATGTAAAAATCTGATGCTATCTAAAAGTACCTGGTTTGGACATTTCTTGACATTTTCAGATTGTTGATGGACTCAGTGTGAATCACAGAATCGTCTAGGTTGGAAAAGACCTTGAAGATCATCCAGTCTAACCATTAACCTAACATTGACAGTTCCCAACTACACCATATCCCTAAGCTCTATGTTGACCCGACTCTTAAACACCCCCAGGGATGGGGACTCCACCACCTCCCTGGGCAGCCCATTCCAACGCCTAACAACCCATTCAGGAAAGAAATGCTTCCTGACATCTAGTCTAAACCTTTCCTGGCACAACTTGAGACCATTGCCTCTTGACCTATTGCTCGTTACTTGGTTAAAGAGGCTCATCCCCAGCTCTCTGCACCCTCCTCTCAGGTAGCTGCAGAGGGCGATGAGGTCTCCCCTCAGCCTCCTCTTCTCCAGACTAAACACCCCCAGTTCCCTCAGCTGCTCCCCTACGACCTGTGCTCCAGACCCTGCACCAGCTCCGTTGCCCTTCTCTGGACACACTTGAGTCATTCAATGTCCTTTTTGTAGTGAGGGGCCCAAAACTGAACACAGGAATCGAGGGGCGGCCTCACCAGTGCCGAGTCCAGGGGTCAGATCCCTTCCCTGTCCCTGCTGGCCATGCTATTGCTGACACAAGCCAGGATGCCATTGGCCTTCTTGGCCCCCTGGGCACACTGCTGGCTCCTGTTCAGCTGGCTGTCAATCAACACCCCCAGGTCCCTCTCTGACTGGCAGCTCTCCAGCCACTCCTCCCCAAGCCTGTAGCGCTGCTGGGGGTTGTTGTGGCCCAAGGGCAGCCCCCGGCATTTGGCCTTCTGGAAACTCCTCCAGTTGGCCTCAGCCCATGGCTCCAGCCTGTCCAGGTCTCTCTGCAGAGCCTCCCTACCCTCCAGCAGATCAACACTCCCACCCAACTTGGTCTCATTTGCAGACTTACTGAGGGTGCACTCGATCCCTCGTCTAGATCATCAATAAGATGAATGATCTGTTCAGTCAATATAATAAAATTTGCATATCAGAAAAATCCTTAAATAGTTGTAAACATAGTTCTTAAAGTGTTAACTGCACTTCCTCTAGAGCAACACTTACGAAAGCAAGAAGTAGCAATGCTTAGTGTGGTTTGTCTTTCTGATTTCAGAATACTATTAAAAATTTCTGCATCCCTAGACATCTCTAAATCCTGGCAAATTTGATATTTGAATTAGTATGTAATACATAATTAGAAACAAGTAACTATGGATAAAACCTTGAAATAAGCAATTGTTAACTGTACCAGAAGGTATTCAGCAATACTGAAGATTTCAGAACTTCTGTGTATTGACAAAAAAGATTGATACAAACAATACATCTGAGTATACAATAGTCTTTAAATGCCAGATTATTTTAAAAGCCCATACTCATTGTAATGTCTTTAAAAGTTGAAGTTTCTCTCTTTTCTTAAAAAAAATACTTTTCTGGCTGTAAGAACTATAAATATTCTAAAGTTTATTGATAAATTTATGAGAAAGTGAGGATAAAAATGTGGCAAGTTGGAATTTGAAATCTGTCACGATAGTTTAGATTATCAGAACACAAGGAATAGTTTGGTTGAAATACTTCCATGATAATTTGCATTTTACATGCATTTTAGCCACAATGAATGTGTTACAGTACTTTTATGAGCTGTCGGCTTCAGCAGCTTAAATGATTTTCTCCAAAATACTTTTTGTAAAATTAACTTTCAGCCATGTAAACTAAACATCCCTAGAGGTAAAAGGATAATTTTGTAAAATCTGATCCTGTTTATTTTACAGGCTACTTTTAAGCAAAAATCACTAATTATGTCAAATTGCTTAGAGCAGCAACATTATTTACTTATGATGAAGCCAATATCACTAACCTCATTTCATGAATATTGATTTAAACCTTAGGTTCCAGAATAGTCCAAACAATTAATCTACTAAATCACTGTTTGAAGAAACTATAAAATCAATATATAATGAAATTTGACCTTGAGTACCCCTTTTCAGAGGAAGTTGCTACCATAAATCCATCATCATTGCTTCTCAACTATTTGAGAGTCCCAACTTTCCATATGACAGTTTCTGAAGACTTAAAAATTCGTCCTTAAGAAATCAGTTCTCTATTTTTTTTTCTTTCCATGTTTTCCTCAAAGACTTCTTGTTTTCTAAAGCACATTCTGTGGATTGGATGGGCTTTCACTCCAAAAGAGGGAATAAAATGCATGCTTATCCAAAAGAGTTACAACTTTCTGTTAGATGAAAGAAATTGTCATGGTACTATAGGAAGGTGGAGATTTTTGTTGGTGCTATGCAATAATCATTACAAAAAAACCTCAGTGCTGTAAAACATGTCATCCTTAATCTCTGTTGCTTTCAGTTTTAATCTCATTTTCTGTGATTGTGCCAAAATTAAAGGATGTTGTGTGAAACACTTTTTACCTTTGGCTGGGAATAATTGTTTTGTGGGAAGACATGTAAAGGTGTCACAAAATGAGAAATTAAGATATCTGAGTTTTACGGCAGTCTTCATCAGAGTGTACACATTTGTGTAAGATATTTATTGTAGAGCTTGTAGAAATGTTGGTGAGCACTACCTGCTACAAAAATAAATGCAGAGGATATTATTAAAAGCTTTGAGTTCTCTCCATATCCACTGGATATTTTCAAGGAGAAGTGAAAGTGATCCAAATCATAACTATGAAGGATTCTTTCTTGAGTGATTTGGGTTGGAAGGGACCTTTAAAGACCATCTAGTCCAACTCCCCCTGCCATGGGCAGGGACACCTTCCACTAGACCAGGTTGCTCAAAGCCCCGTCCAAACTGGCCTTGAACACTGCCAGGGAGGGGGCAGCCAGAACTTCTATGGGCAACCTGTGCCAGTGCCTCACCACCCTCACAGGAAAGAATTTCCTCCTTATGTCTCATGTAAACTTTCTTTGACTTTAAAAGCATTGCACCTTGTCCTGTTAGGCCTTAGTAAAAACAGTCAGTCTTTCTTTTAAGCCCTCTTTATATGATGAAAATCTCTAATCAGGTATCCCTGGAGCCTTCTCAGGGCCAACCCCAACTTCACAGGAGAGGAGGTGTTCTGGCCCTCTGATCATTTTTGTGGCCGTCCTCTAGACCTGCTCTAACTAGTTAGGATTCCATAGATGTTTTACTTCATGCACCTCTTAGTTTTACATATATTTGTTAATGAAAATAATGTCAATACCATCTCTTCTCAAGGTTTGCTATCTTTGAGTCCCCCAGAGAGAACATCGCCCAGGAGTATGGCCTATTTTGTGTTTAATGACAAAGAGAAGTCAACAGTGAGGAATTCTCTGACTACATGAATGTCATTGCTCTGGGTGTATTAAGTCATTGGATTCTTTGAGGTCATCACTAGCATACTGGGAATTTTGAAGCCAAGTAATAAAACTTCTAAATATATAAAGCACATAAATGTGCTGAGCATTTCTAATAGTAATTATAAAGAGCAGTAAAGGTTTCCTGAGGAATTCTTCTTGTTGTTATTAACTGAAAAACAGGAGTTTTTATTATTCAGCATGTGGACAATATATTACAGTCAATTGAAACTGAAAAGGTAATTTTTCCCCAAGCCCCTTCTGTTCCACCCTCAGAAATTCCTGTTTCAGTACTCTTTCAGGGATGACTGAACTGGAAGATCTATTGTTGATAAAGACTTTTTTTTTACCATTTTATTTATAAAAACAATGGCAGTAGTTTTAATGGCATAATAATTTATGCAGAAGTTGCTAGTTTCCTAGAAAAATCACTTTAATCTGACTGAGTTAAACACTAAACCTTTTCTCTTCCATAACTACAAAATTCTAACATGAAAGAACTTTTTTCTCTGAAAATAAGAAGTAACTTCAGATTTGTTGTTGTACTTTAGGAAGCTGAGTAACTTGTGATCCTTATTGCTGTGGCCTCTGAAATGCTGAAAAGAAAAGGTATAGGCTCTAGATAAACTTTGTTATTGGTAACAAAGCAAATTAGGAAATTGAGGAATTAAACTTTACATTAAAATATCTCACAAATCATGGTAAATATTTTGTTATTTAAATGATTAAAAAGATTGATTTGATTATTTCAGCACATATTCCAGGAATGACTGCTTCTACTTTATTATTTTACTACTCTTTTTCATTACAATGTCTCTGTATTATTTTTGTTAATTGCTAATAGCAGAGATTGATATATTTTAGTGGTGAAAAATTTTGTATGTGATGATATGCAGTTCTTTTGCAAAGCTTGCTCTCTGCTAACAGAATGATTACTCTGGTCTCTGTCCCATGGAAAGTGTTGTATGGATAGTTTCACGCTGAAGTTAGTGAAGCCTCATGCAGATTCCAAATCTGCCCTGATGTTTCTTGTAACTGTGTTTCTATCTATATAGAAATGGTAAATGTAGACAGTAGTGTTGTGCAATGAATGTGGTTTTCTTTGTAAATAATATCAGATACCATGTCATTCCATATGACCAGTACTGCTTATCCCCTGTTCCAATCCTTTTTCCTCCTTCTGCCCTTCTTTTTACTGATTAACAAGTGATTTATGCAACAGCACTATCAGGGTGCTGCAATATCACTTTGTTGTTGAAAGGTGATGCTGAAACCCTGGTTATCTGCAATTCAGTAAAATACATTTTACAAAATTATTCACAAAATACTTTGCCATTTACCTCTCTAATGTTGCAGTGGAAATGCCTATGACTCAGCTTCTTTATGGTCGATTTTTGAAAATTAAAGCGATTATTTGCTGAAGGTTCCTTTTTTTCTGCATAGACAGTTGGTAAAAGTAGCAATTATATGGAGTATTTTTCCTTTATTTTAGTATCAGAGATGCAGACTCTGGGACAGATTGCACGAAGAGCACATTAATGCAGGACGAACAGTTCAGGTAAGGGTATTAAAATGACTGTGATATTAATGGAATTAAATTATATACATAGTACTGGTTACCTCAGGGATGGATCTTCACAGAGATGTATATTTGTACATGGTATTGCTTTACTTTGTTTGAGGTGGATTTCCTAATTGCGTCCTATGAGGCAAGTATTCAGAAATGTTTCAGAATTCTTGAATAAGCGGAAGTTTGGAGACCCGTCTTTTGCAAAATATCCTCTTACATTACTAAATTAGAAGACAGGAATTGCAATAAGGGATACTGTTTATTTTAAAGGATGGTTTCAGACCAAACACAGAACATCTGGACCACTAGTTTGGTGTGCAAATCTCTTGTTAGATGCATAATAGCATCAGAGGAGGAAATACCAGACTCATTTGTGAGCATGGCATCATCTCAGTGACTTTGTGCATAGTCACCCATAACTTAACACACAGGGAATCTCACATATTTTTTTAAAAAATTGCATGTCTTGATGAAAATGATGGAAAAGCTAATGCCAAACATCAGCCTTCACACTGCTAAATAGCACGCAGCCAAAGAACATTATCGATACAGAAAACCACAAAGACCAAATCTGCACTGCAAAGTTTGCTGGCACAGGTGTGGCAGCTAGTGGTTATAACATGCTGTGCTGGCAAAATTCTGGGAACAGAGCATCTTTGCCAACAGGAGAGGCACCTTGTGCTGGTCTTACAGATGTTGTTCAGAGGGGGAACATGACTTTGTTGCTGGAACAAATCTGCTGCATCTAGACGAGCAGACTTTGTTGGCAGGGGTAGCACAGTCCTAAACCACTGTATTTCAAAATTCTAATACTGTAAATTGTCGTGTTTGTTGCAATGCCTTACTGACTCCTGTGGGAAATTAGACCAGACTCAAAATAAAAAAAAAACCTCAGAAAGAACAACTTAATCCTGGCTGAACAACAGTATTAGACAGTAGGCAGAGCTGGAGTTACATAACTTTTTTGAGGAGTGGAAGGTGTTAATGAGCTTTTTTTAGTGTAGATGGTAAGATGTTCTATATATTAAATCCATTTGATTTTCTGTTATTTGGAGCTTTGAATGTTTATTTTGATTTTTCAGTATTTTAAAAATTTGAATATGTTTATTCTTAATATCAAAAGCATCTTCCAAAGGTGGAAGTCCTGTTAAAACCGTGACATTCTAACAGGTGTGGTGTAGTAAGCATGTGTTTGCTTATGTCTGTACTCTGTTTTCAGATCTGAGGGGTAGGAAAGGTTTCTCTTGAAACTCTATTATCAGTATCATTTGTTTAGCAAAACAAAATCTATCAATAATTAGAGAAAAAGTAATCATGCCGAAGATGCTGCTTTTAAATGCATTAAGTGCTTTAGTAGTAAAACCTTGCATTTGTCTCTAGAAACATTTATATTTGTCTTGAACCTAAAGCCTGCCATTTTCACTTTCAGCCAAAATAAATTATCTTATGTTTTATGTATTGCTCATCGCTTTTAGATCTGGATACAAGTTATGTATTAAAGTGGTTCACATTCTGATTTCTAGAGAACAGAATAAGTATCTGAGTCCATGCAAGAAGAGTAGACTAGCTCTTTGTTTTAATTAAATAGTTAGGAGTCTGGAGTACTTGATAATAAATTATATGACATGTAGAATGTGTTTGCTGTAAGCTGTTTAAATGTTTACCAATGGACTTGGGATCTGTTTGTTTGCGAAGAAATCAGATTCATTATTGTGATACCAAATGTTCTCTGCAGCACACACTTTGCTCTCAAAATTAGATGTTGTAAAAATACATTAGGAATCCCTAAGTCAATATTGACCCAAGGCATCTGCCACAGGTTTTAGACAAATATATGCACAGCCACTCTACATTTAATCCATGTGCACATAATTAGCCATTTTTCTGAATTCTCAGTTTACCCAGAATAATTACTTCTGTTCTACTTTTGATGATGGTCAAAATTATAATAGAACTATAGATGAGCATAAATGTATGTCTCTTCTTTCTGGTGACTCGATGCCACGTTAAAAACTTCTTAAAAGGAAAGTGAAGAATCTGGGGAAATCTTTGTATGGGCTGTGATGACACCCTTTCAGAAATACCAAGAAAATAGCTCTTGTATACTGTGTATTAGTTTTCATAAATGTGCTCTTGTGGATTTTCATTTTTAGGGACAGTCAGTGGACTTCTTAAAATGTTAGGACCTGAATAAATATGCAGTTTTGCTAGGCTTTGCCTACATGTATACTGACTGTACCATACAATTAGTTTATTGCAAGATTTAAGCTAATTTCTATATTTCATTTTAACACCCAAGGACTGCATTGATCATATTAATAGTGAGAGGAAGAAAAATGCTGCAGTTACTAGAGAGGATATAAGGCACTGAACAAAAAAAGGAAAAATACTGTGGATGAATGATCTGACTTTAGTGTATATTCAGCCCACAAAAGGAGACTCTGTTCTGCAAAACATACCTAGACAGATGTAGTCTCTCCAGTGTGTTGATCTAACCTGGAAAGCTGCTTGAAAAATGTTAATCCACTTTTTTTCTTTTTCACTTTTATGATTTCCGTTTCAACTGAAAATGGTTTACAAAGAAAAGATGGTTTTTAGTCAGCTCTCTTTTGCGTAAATTTTCAAAGCTTAGTTGTATGGCTCATGTCACTGAACCATCCTTAAAATTATGCAGTCTTCAAATTAAGTATCTTTCTGGAATACTACGCAAATATACTGGGAGAGCATAAGAAGCAGGGTAGATGAGTTTATTGCTGAAGGAGATTGTTTATGGTATCAATGAAGGGTCATGTGGAATCAGCTCACTATTGCAGCCTGTGGCTGTCTGCAGGGTAAATATATTCTTAAACTCAGAGTTTCTTTGACCTGCACCAAGAAATTTGTAACATACACCCTTTATCACATTACTTTGGACAAAGTCCAGAGAAAATAAGTGAAGGCAACATTACATTTGCACAGCTACTGCAATACTTTCTTGAAAATCATATTTATGTTTAAGAGGGTTTAAGGTCATGGGTTTCTTTGGAGGTGTTATTTACTTCTTAATTTAAAACAACCACATGCAGAATGGAGGGAGAGTTGACAGTGATTAACGTGTGGAAGACAGAAGATGAGGAGAAAAAGGGATTGATTTGCTGGACATGACAGATCTTGTGTCGTCCATGTACTATTTCAGCATAAATAGTTTGAAGTGTAAACTATTGGCAAATGTATATGATGTTACATTTAATGATAATACAATCAAGAAGACGAAAAAGAGAACGATGGTGGCAGAGACTGAGTGTGGTAATGGCAAGACTACCATGATTCAGTTAGCTGGTAGTGTTAGGATTAGTATAGGCTGGTGAGGATAGAGTAAGTGAAGTTCCAGAGCACTCCAGGAACATCAGTTTTGCCAGGGATGCATGGCTGAAGCAGATACTTACACTGTGATTTTCAGGGAGCTGTTGCTGTGGCCTAGATAGAACTTCACATATTTCCATAAGTGGTAGAGATATCAGATGTTACAATGGAAATAATCCTACAGCTCAAGTCTCCGCTGCCTCTTCAAGGGTTTTGGTCCCATCTCAGCCCTTTGACATTTGTACAAGGTAGAGCCAGGCAGGTGTGGTGTTTATCTTGATGCCCAGGGGCCTCATGCTGTGTCAGAACTGAAGCACTGAGGTGCCTGTATGCTCTTTTTTACTACTTTCCTTGTGGTGTTATGTGTCCTTACCAGCATGCTGTGGTAGTGCAGCGCAGGCTCTCTGCCATGACATAGTACCGGAGGTTTCTGTGTGCAATTGCCTGCAGTTTAGTACAGATTCCATTATTTTCTTCTTTGTTGTCATCTGTTACTTTTCCTCAATTGTAATGAAATTGGTTGCACACAAGAGTCGGGTGTTGCTGGTATAATACTGGTGGTGAAGTTCACGAGTGTTATGTATTTGAGTGTGAAGTGATGATGCTATTTTAAGGCAGCCTACAGTAAGCCTATAGAAACATGACATCCGTTTTTCAAGTTATATTACTTTGAAAATTCAGCTGTCACTGTTAGTGGTGAAAATTACTGCTCTGAGAAACAAATACTGCAAAAAAAGAATTTTTACTCTTTTGTATGAGTAAGGTTCATTGGTTTGCTGAAAATTGCTGTTAAGACTTCTGAATTCCATAGGGAGTTTTACCATTTTTCTCGTATGTCTGACATATTTGTAGAGGAGGTCCCATTCATAAACCACTTAGGAGGAGCAGAATATGAGAACATACTTTGTGATTTTAAAGATAATTCAAAACAGTGAATACTTATAATAATTCCTTCTCTTACATATTTAAAACTGCTAAGTAATAAGATGAGCTTAATGGACAGGTATGTAGAATCATTTTCAGTAACAGTGATTTAAAAAAAAAAATTAAAAATTAAATTAAGCTCTCCTTTGGCTCATTTGTCTCCTTTTGTAGTTTACTTCCTGAGAGAAATTTAGAATTTATTCTTTATTTTTTATTGAATGTGTTTGTAAAGATTTTGAAAAGAATGGAAAAGCAGTGCAACTTCCTTATATATGATTTCTTTTTCTTTCCATTTCGGATGTGTTGATAGATTTTTCACAGTACTTGTGAAAACCATGCCACTTCTCATTTACTTTTCTGAAAAAAAATCCATTATATTTGTTCACATAATATAGTGAATCCACCATCCTGGTGGATTCCCCAGGCTTACCTCCAAATTTGTGGACACTTTACGAAAACTGGGCTCAGATTTTGTGTCCCTACCTCAGTTCTGCATCTGTTCAAGAAGAACAGTGAACCTTACTCAATGAAGTCCTTTGAGACCTAGAAATGAAAGCACTATATAACAGCTATATTAACGTTAGTTTCATTATATAGCAAAAACATACAAACAGCAAAAAGCTGGGAGAGACTAAGGGGTTCTGGTGGAGAGATCAGAGTTAGAATTCTTAATGATGTTGAGAAAAGACCTGAAAAATCAGTATGTTTTTGGATGAGGAGAAGGGCAGTCATTGGCTGTACAAGATTCAAGATGAGAAGCTGTTGGGGCAGCACTTCTGCAGAAGTCCTCTGCAGAAGGACACAGAGTAAAAGTGAACCAATTGCATGGTAGTGATACGAAAAAGCCAAATAATGTAGTGGGATGTATAAATGGGAGAGTAGTCAATGCAGTCTCTCATAGGATCTCTTTGGTCAGCAGTAGTAGGATCCGAGGTAGAATAGTTAGTCTAGCCAGTCACCACGCTTTAAAGGAAGCTATGGGCTGATTAGAGAGTATTTAGGAAGAGCAATGAAAATGGTCAGAAATTGAGAAAACAAGATTTATTTGGAAAGACTTAGAAATTATTTTGCCCAAAGAATGCCTGACAACAGTGTACTGTCTGTCTGCGAACATGGAAAAGATAGTTGCAAAGAGGACAGGGTTTGTCTTTCTCTATTTTGAACAGAGGGGATTAGAAATATCTGGATTAAACTGAGGCAGGAGAGATTTCTGTTGAGCATGAGGAAAAGACTATAGCAATTAGGATAATGAATTCTTGCAGTATAAAATCAAGGAGGTTGTAGCTCTTTGAAAATAAGTCCTTTTAAGACCAGATTAGATAAACAACTGTCAGAAATAAAATAGGGACAGCAGATCATGCTTTGAAGGGATGACTTCCCAAGGTTTTTGCCAGTGTTATTTCCCTACAGTTTTTGTGAGAAGGCCATTTGAAACAAAGATTGTTATTTGGGTTTGGAAGTTAACAGAAAAAAATTGCAAATATTATAAAGAAATATTCAGTGTCTTTTGGGCTGAATGTGGTGAGTTCAAAACTCAGAAGTTCCCGTAAATGCAAACAGAATTTTGTATTCCCTTCCTCACTAAGCAAGCTTGATTTTAAAAGCAGAAACAGTTGCAAAGGGGTTGACATACTTTTATGCTCTACCCAGAAATTAGACTTTGTCCCATTAAAATGATAACGAAAAGAAGTCACAGTTATTTGCATATCCATAACATTTATGATGTTATACCCTGGCGAGCTCTCAGATGTGTCTTGTGGCAGAGCTCAGCTTTCTTGCTAGGTTGAATCCGTTTATCTTCTGTTTAGTTGACAGTAAATGGAACACGAGTCCTCTCTCCAAAACCACAAAGGAAAAAGTACTAAAATTAAATTTCTCCAAATAGGCAAATATCATCATCTGATTCCTCCATCTTTCTCACAAATTATTTCTCTTTGATCAGCAAGGTAATAATGAAAGCGAGCATCTGATTTAACCATTCCTTAGGGTGAGTAGTTTATATTTCTTAAAACTTCTGTTCAATTCTATTTTGAATGCTTCAGCAGTAAGTTGGTGGTTGTGCTGGTCACTGCACAGTAACTCTCTTCATTATACTTGTGCATTGGCTATACTGGTAATTTGCTCCAGCAACAGCTGCAGTGATACAGATCCTGAGCAGAGCTATGTTTTAACTCAATTTCAACTGGGAAATTTTCCTCTTTTTTTTTTTTTTAAAGAAACTGCTTTGGAACCATTATTAGCTCATCCCAAACTCACTGTTGTCACTGTTTCACAACATGTTTTTGTTTGGTATGTTGTTTTTTTTTGTCTCAGTTATGGTCAAAGACAGGATAATAATAATAATTTTGTTTACTCTAACAAAACAGCAGGATCAACTTCATTTGGTCCCCAGCATATAATTCTCACAAAATATATAATTAAATCTTGTGTCTAGATAGTCCCATCTTGTCTTTTAAATTAAACTCCAAGATTTTATAAACCAAGAATTTTGGCATGTGGTGGACTATGACAGTGATGACATTCTCCCTTTTTCAGTACTTATGGGCAGACCGTGGGAGAAAGATAACAGGAAGAGCAAGGTGGATTAAGATGAGAAATGTATGAGCAAAATTGTTGGGTACCATGTTTCTAATTCAACTCAATATCTTAGAGTTATTTTTTGCATCTCCCTTTTTTTATTGTTAATGTTTTTACCTGGGGTTAGCCTTAAATAATGCAGCCTAAATTGACTAGTAGTAGTCTTAATTTAAGCATACAATAGAATATACTCTTGGTAATTTGACAAATTATTTTTACAAATCAATAGTTCTTTCTTTGGTTGCCTAATATGTCTTGTGCAGTGTTACTTCAGTTTGTTATTGAATTAATTTCTCTTCTCTAATTATATTTCTACTATTTTTTTCAAACATGTTAAAAAATTAATTCTGCTAGCTTATATAAATAAAATAAGTTCCACCTAGTTCCTGCTTTTCCAGGTGAGCAATATGGCCTTTCTAAGGCATTACCTGTACCTGGTTTGTATTACTGAGGAAAATGTTTCCTTTTTAAACCACTCACTGGTGTTAATCCATTCTCTTGTTCTGCTGTGAGAGGCATATTCAAAACAATTGGTAAATAGTGCGATAATATAATTTATTATATCACCTTATAATGTAATGCAATAAATATTATTTTTATTACAGTCTTATTTTTTTATAATTAGATAAAAACTGTGTCCTGAAACAGTAAGTGGTATAATTTAAGCTATAATTTTTTTCTTTTCATTTGTAGAAAAAGAAAAGCTGTGTGCATTTTTAGATTTTAAAAGCCTAGGCAGTTCTATTTTTGCTATACGGAGAAGTTTATCTCACAGGAGATGCCTGCACACGGATTCTTTTTGCTAGTTGTGAATAGTTTATATCTTCTCAGATCTCTTGTAACTAAAGAAATATTTTTGTGTTTTATTATATTTGGTATTCCAATCAAACAAATATATTCATCCTTCTTCTGAAAAAAAGAATATATATATTGCAAAAAAAGAAGAGGTAATCCTTCTCTTTTGTCCTCGAAGTTGCCTTACAAAATGAAAATTATAGTTTTGGGGTAGTTGAGACTTGCAAATGATTGTATCCTGAAGTGCTGTAATCACCATGATTGCTTATTATAAAAAAAAAAATAAATTTTGAGAAGCAGTCACTTTATTTGGATATTATTTTTGTTGCAACTTGTGTAAATATTTTGGCAGAGGCCTAAATTGATCTTAGACACCAAAATAACTTCAGTAATTACATAGTGAATTAATTAGTTAAATACTTTAATTGAAACTCCAAATAAAACAATCTGAGTTCTTTACTTTGAGAAGTGGATAAAGTATAGATTTGACAGCAAGAAAATCATACTATCAATGTAAATGGCTTCAAAACTATTTTTCCCTTGTTTGGTGGTTGTTTGGTACTATGGATAAATTAGGTAACAGGTACCTCTTCCTTGATCTTTGGTTCTTATTCTCCTGGGGCAGATAGCTTAGTTTCCCTTAGGGAAAGTAGGCCACATCCAGAAAGACTCAGCAATATGTCCCAGTGATGCCTCACTGCACTGTTTGGGGACTGCTGTGTTGGGAGCTGCCACCCCCATATATTTTTTTTTTATAGACAGAGAACTGAGTGAACTCAGAAGCACAAGCAAATATTAAAAATACGACTGACTTAGTTGGTTATGATGTAGTGGTACCTCTGAGTAAGAAGCACTTGGAAGTACAGATGCCTTCCTCTCTGGACAGTGTTGAGCTGTGGTTGAGCTGATTAAATCACTGTCTCATCGGTAGCACCGTCAGCTACAGGAGTGTCATCTGCCCTAGGAAGTGTAGGAGGTGGGTCATTTACTTAGAAGGGATCATCTTTAGGTTGAGCTTCCTTAGTGAGGACAAGTCCCTTCTCTGCAGAGCACTGTATTTTTTATGGTGCTCTTCTGCAAGAGCATTATAAAAAGACCAAAATAAGAGTCTGGGAGACCCAGGATGGGTTCAAGGTGAGGATTTACTGTGCTATTGGAAGCATGGGATTTTTACAGCAATTGAATCTTATGAGGAGCGGCTGAGGGCACTGGGGGTGTTTAGTCTGGAGAAGAGGAGGCTGAGGGGAGACCTCATCGCCCTCTACAGCTACCTGAGAGGAGGGTGCAGAGAGCTGGGGATGAGCCTCTTTAACCAAGTAACAAGTGATAGTACAAGAGGGAATGGCCTCAAGTTGCACCAGGGAAGGTTTAGACTGGATATTAGGAAGCATTTCTTCACAGAACGGGTTGTTAGACGTTGGAATGAGCTGCCCAGGGAGGTGGTGGAGTCCCCATCCCTGGAGGTGTTTAACGAGTAGGGTCAGCATAGCACTGAGGGATCTGGTGTAGGTGATCTGATCTAGAACTGTCAGTGTTAGGTTAATGGTTGGACTGGATGATCTTCAAGGTCCTTTCCAACCTAGATGATTCTGTGAGGGCATCTTTGACAGGTGAACCAGCTGCAGTCAAACAGTACGGTCTGGAAAAGAAAATGGATGTAGAGTAGTAGTGACCTGGAACATAGGTATTGCTTGAAACCTGGGACTTTTGAGGAGGGTTTTTTTGGTCTTAGTTTATTAAAACACTAGAAATGGCACTTTTTATGCTTATTTAAAGATAATCAAGATGGTAGTTGTGTCATTACCACTGTAAGTATCTGGTGCTCTTACGTAGTAAGCTACAAAATAACTCTTAAAACTGTTACAGCAACTCCGTGCCAATATGAGAGAGATGGAGAAACTCTGTTTGCGAGTCCGACAGGAGGACATCCCAGTTCTGCAGAGAATGATAAATCCCATTAAAGAGGAAGCTTCATTTGCCATAAAAGACTTCCTGCAGCTCCATTCTGAATCTGCAGAAGAACTTAAAAGACAACTTGGACAAGAGGATGCCTCTTTAACCAGATCTGCAACTGTAGGAGGAGGTAGTGGAATTTCATTTCTGTATCTAGTGTGCCTATATTGTGGTATCCAGTCTGCAGTTTCTCTGACCAGATATAAATGAAGTAAACAAATGAGATTTCAGTTGAATAATAATTGTTAATCAAGAAGTGGATTTCTTTCCCTACATCACACTTTGCTCATGACCTGTAACTGAGTTTTGATAAGTGTAGAATGCTCTAATTAAGTATTTTAAGAAATTAAAATAGCTGTGACCTTCCATGAGAAAGATCCCATAGAGTTGGATCTTGAAGCAGAAGACTGGTTTTTTACAGGAAGAAGAATACTTACAGTCATGTTTCACAGTAGCTTGACTTCTCTGCCCCTCCCTCCCCCCCCTCCTCCCTCAAATCACTTGATCATGTGCAAGTAATCACTTAGACCATTCTCACTGAATTAGTGTTTGCACCATCAAGAAGAATACAATTTTACATGACAGACAGTATAATACAGCACTACTGGAATATGTGGAAAAGCGGAGCAAGTCTCTATATAAAGCACACCTCTTCCTGTAGCATTTTAACTTGGGAACTGAAAAGAAACAGAAAACAGTATAAATACATTTAAGGAAAAAATTTTGAAAACATTATAACATGCTACAAGTCAGACACGTTTTCCCTCCCTTTTACACAAAATGTCTTTCATTCCTTGTTCTACCATTCTGTCTTCAGGGGAAGCCCTTCCTATGCTCTGGTAGTGTTCTCTGCTAATGATCTATGAGAGCGTTGGTTATATCATGATTAAATCCTTCTATGTAACAGTAATTAGTTTGATTGCTGCAGTAGCAGTACTGTTTAAAAATGTTTCAAAATTCCACCTGTCTTAAAATTGAGAGTATTCCCAGTCAGTGGCATTGTAGAATAACCTGCTATCAAATTTGATTTCATCACCCTTGTTTCTGCATAAAGAACTCTTTAAAGTGTGATTAACAAGCTAGCGAGTCTAATGGTTGAGCAGGGAGAAAAGTAGATTTGAAAACTGGGCTTGCTTTCGAGAAGTTCATGTGCAGTAGTATGCAAAAACCTTATGAACATCAAGATGTATCATATATAGAACCACAGAATGGGTTGGGTTGGAACGGACCTTTAAATGTCAATAGTCCACCCCCCTGCCATGGGCAGGGACACCTTCCACTAGACCAGGTTGCTCAAAGCCCCGTCCAACCTGGCCTTGAACACTGCCAGGGAGGGGGCAGCCAGAACTTCTCTGGGCAACCTGTTCCAGTGCCTCATCACCCTCATCGTAAAAAATTTCTGTCTTCTTATGAAGCCAATAAAAAAAGACTTAATTGACTTCTGACATATGAATCCTGACTTTTTCAGCACCTTCAACATCTTGTAGTTGATTGTTTAGTAGTTTGTCCTAATGTTTTTGTGTGTTTCAGAGTCTGGCTGTTTGCTGCACTCTCCTTCCCCACTGAAAAAGGAAGGTAGTAACTGAATCTGTTCTGTTGCAGTCCTCTGGGACCCCCTTACTGAAGTTCTCAGGAACATGCTTGAACTTTCAAAGGCTGTTTTTTAAATGCTGTAGAGTGAATTTCATCAAATCCTCAGGACTTGAGGGTCTATTTTTTCCTTTCTTATTTAAATTAATTGCCTCAAATATCTGATTACAGTTACCTGTTTGTTTAAAGACTGATTTAATCTTTCTCTGGGTTGTCCATCCTTTTCATTCTTCACCTGGCAATGCACTTAAACTTCCTGTGTCTTTCTCAAACTTCAAAAGCATTCAAAGAAACTTTCTTGCTACTATTTATGTCCCCTGGTAGTTGCAGTTTATTTGTGTCCTAGTCTTTCTGATATTAACTGTCCATACTTATATTATTGCTAGTACTCATAGTAACTGTGTGTAGAATTCTTGATATCCAGGGCATTGAAGAGCTCTTGCTGAAGACAGAAACATTTTCTTCTGCATCAGGACAATTTGCGGTCATCTTCAGAATAGCCTATTTTATTAGTGTCTGCCAGCTCTTCTGCAGGCCTTTATCCTGTAGGAACTTCCCCATAGTTTCTATTAATCAGTTTGCTGAATTTGTTGATATCTCTTTTGGGGGGAGCTCGTTGTCTTCAGTCTTGTACTCTTGAGTTTTAGAATAGTGAACTCTGGTGTTCAGTGATTCCCTTCATCCATATTAGTCATTACTTTCAGGTTCTTTGTGAGCTCTCTGTTACGTTCAGAACTAAATTTAAAATATCTCTCTTTTTGGTAACTTGGTGCAGTTGTCCTCAATACATTTCATTGGAAAAGCCTTGTCCTGGCTTATTGCTTTTCTAACAGTTACATAGGTGGTAAATGGAAACTAGAGTTTAATTTCAAAGAACAGGACTGCTTTTTTAATCTGAAATACCTTTGAAGTATGGAGGACATTGAGCATAACAGCACTTCAGAAAGACAAGTAATTGATCAGAAAGATTGGGATGAGAAGAACAGAAAAATGTTACTGGAATGACATGCTCCTACAAGTCTGCTCAAGAATATGGAAATAAAGCACCCCATTTAAAATGAAATATACAATTAAACAGGCATTTTTTTTCAAGTTTGCCTGCCTGTGAAAGCAGCTCTGTTGAATTGCTAACACAGATGCAATATATTGCCTATTCTTTTGTGCTTGGAGGCTGCAGTCCTGAAAGCAAATCTTGGCTGCTGATTTTAATCAAAGGAGCTTCAGTATGCCCATTCTTGTAGCATGTTGCTTCCCATCTGGTAGAGGAGGAAGGAGTTTACAAATTCAAATCGCCCATTTAGAAGGCATGTCAGTGATACGATGTAGTCCCTTCCCCCCTTCATCATCCTCAGCTGAGGTCCAATAGAAATGGAATTTAATTGCATTTTAAACAAATATTAACAAAAGGTGAGACTCCACACTTAAAATTACTAAAATCTTTTAAGCAACATATTGAATCTTCCAGAGCATTAGATTTTTATCTTGCATGTAATGAGGTGCGCAGCTACTCTATAAAATCTGCAGAGGTGTTTTGTATTATTGCATTTCTGTGGAGATGCTGTAAGTGAACTGGTGGAGCCACTTCCATTCTCAGTTCTATTAAAATTGGTTAGACTCAATAAAACATGAACTAGTGAATATAAATTTCTTACTCATGCTTTCATCCCAAATCTGACTTCACCTTCTTTTACCCTTCTTGTTTTTTACCTTAATTTTTTGAAGTGAGTAAAGAATTTTCCTGAGGACCTTTTTCTCACTAATTTTTAGTTATTAGAAAATGATAACAGCATAAAACTACTTACAATTTTAAGTTCTCTTGAATGTGTGTCATGAAAAACTTCAGTATCATTTATGTACTTTGAAGGATGTCCTTTTCTACAATAGGTCAGCAGAGATTGTTAAGGATAGACCAGAACAGGGAAGGTAATTTGTGAAGGAGGCAGTTTTGCTTAGTGAGCTTTTTTTTTGCTTTTGAATTATGAGTATTTTAATTTCATCCAATTTAGCATGTATGTGGCTGATTAGGGAAGAGTACAATTTTCTTGGCAGACGAAACTTGGTTTTGAAATAGGATTGTGAAGGATTGAAATGGAATACTCAAAACCAATGTTAAATGTCAGAATATGTAGCAGAATCAGTTTCTCCAAAAATGCACACATTTGGATATATGATTAAGTATGTTGAAAAGGGAAAAGCAATACTTTAGAACTGAGTATATAACATTAATTAATCGATGTTATAAATGAAAAATATGTTCTGGAAGAACAGGTGATGATTGTAGAAGGTGAAGTAGCTTCCATGTTTAGATTCCTAAAGGAAAAAGGTAGAAATTAAAAACAAGACCAAAATAAAACCCCCAATCACTTACTCGTTGTTACTCTGCTACTCTGCTTACTTAGTGATTATGGTTGAATATTCATCAACTTCATTGATGTTAGACTTCTATTGATCTGAGAGTAGGAAGATTAGGGCCTTAATGTATTTTGAGATACTTGGATTAAAATGTTGAGAAATGGACAAATGTTGAGAAAATGTATAATTTTTATTTTATTTTAAATTAATTCCATGAATAAGCATGCACTATTACTGCTTTTATAATGAATAAGATTATTTTTATTTGTTTTCCATTGTTTGTATCTGTTGTAGTAACAGTTACATAATATTATAGTACCTTGGCACATTCATTGTTTCTAAAGAAGATTTTAATGCAGTATTTACACTTGAGTATTGTTAGACATATCTAACCAGTCTTCCCCATATTAAGCTTTCTCTTGATAGTACCCTCCCAAGGAAGGAAACATAAGTGTCCTACAAAAAGTAGATATCTTCCTTCAGAAATTGAAGCTGTCTAAATTAACACAATCTTTTCACTGTGTTTACACACATACGTTCTCCAGTCTGCCTTTTCATACTCTCAAGCCATTCCTTAATCCTTGCAACAACAAGACAAACTTGTTTGTTACTATTCTTTATTACCACTTAATTATTTCTCAATAATTATGCACATGTCCATTACATCTGTAGTGACTCAAGACTGGGCTCTTTGACAGGAGGAGGTATGTGTGTGTCCATTTTATCTGCTCTCCTCCATGCCACCTAGTTGTCCCTCATTCCCCATTTTTCCCACCGTATTTTGTCCTAATGTCTTCTGTACCCGGTCCAAGTGATTTAGAAAGGAAGATACTTGAGAATATCTTTTACACCACTGAGCTGCTAATGTTTGTCATCCTCACAGTATCGTCACCCAACTGGATCCAGCCCTGAACGCTGGGCAGTATGTTACTTGGTTTTCAATGCTTTTACTTTGAAAGCTTTTTCCTTCAGCTTTTTTTGGTCCTAAATGGCTGAAAATCAAACCAGTAGCATAATCATAAAATGAATAACTGTCTGTTCAGTTTTGGAAGTGCAGTGGTTTTATGTGTCATATGTAAATAAAGTTTTTGTCCCAAGCTCAGTTTTCTTAGCTTGGTTGATACAAAATTAATTACCTGACCTTGAATTCAGGAGTATAATTTAATATCATTCTCAGAACTGATTGTGAAGGTGTGCTGATAGAAACAAATCCATTCCTTTGGCAATAACTTCCTTCTAGTGCTGTGAGTAAGACTTTTCCCTATAAGATCATTTTCAGGGCTGTACTTGGCTTGAATTAGGTTAAATATCAGTTTATCCTTGAGAAGCATTAAAAGCAAGAAACTTTGCACATCACCTGCTTTCTGATTCAGTTCATTTGTTTATAAACATCATGTTCCTCATTCAGAAACTTTACATAGTGCTGAAGTGAAGGATGGCTCCCAAAGTTTAATCCAGATCTACTCCCGTCTTCCCGAAATACCTCACGAAGAAAATGCAGCTGAGTCCTGGGAAACTTTAGAAGAGGTATGTTGAAACTCCCTTACTGCTGTGTCTGTGCTCTTGCTTTTAACAACAGTTAGAAAATAACATTTGTTTTTTATTTGTAGGACTTGATTCACCTTAGTCAGTTGGTGGCTGACTTTTCTCTCTTAGTCAGTGTAAGTATTAATTTTGCATTCTATCCTAGACAGAGTTTTGTACAAAAAGAGGAAGGGGTAGCTCTTAGTTGGGGGAAAAAAAATGAGCAACACTTCTGCCTGTAGTCTGCACTCAGACTGAGCTAGTATCACTTGATCAAAGTGATAGCAGAATAAGATTAACTGCATTTATTCAGTCCAATAGTCAATACTACAAAATCCTAGTCACTTGTTGGAAACTTCAGGAAAAGGCCAGCAGAGGCAGAGCAGTTTCCCCAAAGCAAGCAGATATGCCTGCACAAAGGTGCTGTCTTTATTACTTGGGACTTGCAGTAAATACACGTACTTTCAAAGCTGGTACATCACCTGCTTTCCAAGTTGTACGTGATGCATTATAATGTTTACATCAGATTGTCTAGCAGTAAGGTGAAAGGTTTTCTTTTGATTTTCAAGTGCCTACAGAAGAGGAATGTTCAAAGCCTTAGTTTAACTACTCTGCTGCCCCATCTGGTTAGAAAACTAACAGCTTGTCCTTCCCTACATCAGTGACTCATTGCCACAAGTATCTTTGTGGCTCTCCTGTTGATTCAGGCTCTCTCAAGGTAATTTTCTGAGGCAATAGTCTTCTGTTTCAGCACTAGTGCTGGTAATTGCTCCTAAGATCTTGTCACCAGAGCAACTACTGATGTTCTAGCCAGTGCCCTTGGCCACAAGCTGAACCTCAGTAGAAGCTCTGCAGTGCTGACTGGAGACACCTACCCCGGTCCCATTCATTTTTACAATTTCCGATTGTAATGGTGACAAAAGCCTTTACTGCACAGGGTGGGTGTTTCTCAGGTACTTTTTCTCGCTTAATCAGGAGCACTAGAAAAATCTGAAGTTTCCCTTACCTTTATCACGCCCTTTCTCTGCTCTCACAAAGCTGCCAAAAGGTCTTCATCATCCGTACTCAGTTCCCAATGTTTAGTTCTTCCTGTGCCACAGGGAATTTAAATCCACAATTCTCATCTCCTAGGAGTTCTTTAATCTCCTTGCTGTTGAGTTAGTTGGGATAGATAATCTAGCTTTTATCCTTTCTGCTGAATATGTGCTGCTTCACATACAGAAAAAAAAAAAAAAAAAGACTGCAATTCATTAGGCTGGAGAGGGATTGAAAAAATTTTTATGCAGTAGCCTAAATATTAGCTGCTTTAGCTACAAAGGAGGAGTTCCTGTTCCCAGGACTTTCTGGATTACCATCATTAGATATAATAGCAAGCATCTAAATTCTGTGGATTGGATAGTAGATGAAGATGACTTGGTGGATTCAGCAGTTTCTGAATTATAAAGAGGAAAAAAGTTCAGAATGCCTTTTATTTTAAGCTGAACATTAGCTGTCTCATTATTTTGTGACATTAAACAGCTTGGGCACTGCTGAGATTAAAATAAGAACAAACCTGCAAACCCCTTTATCTTCAGCTCCAGAAACTGCAGGGGAATCTGCCTGCATCTGGGGAAAGGCTGAAACATTTTTATAAAACCAAACAGTAAAATACAGAGCAACATCAACTACATTTTCAGTACTGCCACTAGTCTATTTGTAAAGTTAAGTCAGTGTTTTATAATGTCATGATTATACACTTCTGTTTGGATTTCTTGGTGCAGCTTTTATGTTGGAGTTGGTACTGATCTTATAAATGCTCTTTATAGAATTTTTTTTTTTGAACGTGAAACTCAGCAGGAAACAAAAAGGCTAGTTTGGGTTATTTTTCCCTTTGAATGCGAGGTCATCTATTCACAAAGATTTCAACGACATATGTTTTGGGTTGTTTTCTCTAACTGCAGCAACACGTTGTATAATACCCACACCATAGTATTACTTAATAGTTAAGAGTTTTTTTTAAAGTAAGTTTGTCGTTTCAGCACAGTTTATCAGATGCTATTAATGAACCACCATTAAGGCTGCACGGCTGCAGTGTGTAGCAGATGAAAGCGGCTGTGGAGCCCTGATTACAGGCATTAAAATGGTGTGTATTGGCTCACTGCTGCTTCACAGCAGGTTACCTCACTCATAATTCCTTTGCATCTAGTCTCAGCAGGAGAAGATTGACAGGATTGAAGACCATGTCAACAGTGCTGCTGTGAATGTTGAAGAGGGAACCAAAAACCTGGGGAAGGTAGGGATCTGCTCCTGCTGGTGAATCAATGGTACTCTGCCTCCCAGCAATCCTCTGTATTAACCCAATTGATCTGCCGTCTTTAATGCTGAGGGAGCCAGCAATTAAGGAAATAAGGAAGAAATAACCCACAGGTAGCAGGGGAAAAAAAAAAAATCAATCTCTCTTGTAATCTTCTATCACATCCAGGCTACTAGGAAATACAAATTTTTTTTGCTTCTTTTTTTTATGCTATTCTGATGCTACTTTGGTTTACCTGCAAAGACAAGTGTATTCAGTGATTGGCTCACAAGAATCAAATAAGCGTAAAATAACAGGCGGATAGTAACATGCAATTTCAATCCCATTCTATGTAGATATCAGTGATAGTTACTAATAAGCCACAAACCTAGATTCAGACACATTACTGAAAAGTCTGAGCATTTTCTCAGTTCCTCATTTGATTTAATAGTGGAGACCAGGTAATACTGTACATAATCACTCTGAACCACGTTAAAGGACCTGGTTCACAACTGCATGAGAGAGCTCAATTTTGAATTGTTTTCTGTATGTTCTGTCATGTATGTGGGACAGTAGATCATCTTTTTTTGAATACTAATTTGTAAAGTTATATCATCGTATCACTGAGCATTCAAGTCATTGCCAAGAGCAATGAGGGGAAAATGCACATCACTACAGGCAAGTATTCTAACTTTTTTTTTTTTTTTTTTTTCCCTTTACAGGCTGCAAAATACAAGCTGGCAGCTCTGCCTGTGGCAGGTGCAGTCATTGGTGGAGTGGTGGGGGGTCCTATTGGTCTCCTTGCAGGCTTCAAAGTGGCAGGAATTGCAGCTGCACTTGGTGGTGGGATTTTGGGTTTCACAGGTGGAAAATTGATACAGAGAAAGAAAAAAAAAATGATTGAGCAGGCCTCTTCCAGCTGTCCAGAGCTTTCTCACCAAAGTGCCAAAAAATCCAGCTGAAGTACAGATTCATTATGACTGAGAATGAAAGTGTAGTGGCTGCGCTAATGACAGACTTGCAGCCTTACGCTTTAAATCTAAGGCTGAGTTGGGTGAATTTTGACAACAGTACTGTTACTTGGGAGGGTGAAACAGTAATGTCAGGATTTCTCTTTTTAGATGTGGTGACATGAGTCCTTTGAAAATTATATGGATAACTTAATTACAGAATTCTTAGGTGAGTGATATGCACAGCTGTAACAATGAGTGACAGGTTCTTAATGCTAAATTTGCACAAAGCGTCTTGCAGACAATACAAAGAGAAATATTTGGAAAACCCCAGTGCTTTCCCATGAACACCATCCAGAAGCTGGAGCTTTTATTATAGTGCTCCAAAGAAAAGGAAATAAGCTCCATCTTTCCATCATGGTCATAGTACTTTAAATATACTTTCATTTATCTGGATTTCCAAACTCCTCCTGTGTATAACCCCTGGGGTATGACTGACTGTGCCTGGTCACTAATGCACAGGGAAGCATTGGCTGCCATAAGAAAAGGTGAAAATGTTGGGTGAGCTATGTAGGAAAAAACCCTCATGTATAGCCCACATTTGCCTCGATCTGGCAAATCAGAGCAGCATCATCATCATCTTTCCCCCTTTTTTGGGTACTTTTTTTTTTAAATTTGTAAACTCATCTTGTTCAAAGTGTATTTAAGAACTAAGCAGTCTAAGCAGCAGCCCTGCAGGACTGCTACTGGAGAATAATTTTCCACGGCCGTTCAACTCCTTGGCTTGTCCTGAAAACACCATCCAGGATAAAGTATCAAGCTCTGGCATTCCGAGCTTGAGGCCTCCAGCTGACTTAAGCAGCACTTACTGCTAGACGTTGCCCTTGCTTCTCATCTCCTGCCACCAGCAGAGCTCTGGTGGGAGAGCTAAATGTGCTGGAACACTGTGCTGCAGCCAGGCCCACTCCCTCAATAGTCATCCTTATCCTTCAAGGGTGGCATCAGGCACCAGATCGAAGGATGGTGAAGCAGCGAGGCCCTTTAAATGGTGCCAGCATCAGATGACAACCCCAGATGATGGGACTGTTTTGAAAACATCAACCTGATACTGTTTACAAGTAGTAAACTGTGCTTGTTTGGGTCAGCTGAGCACCTCCTGCGTGCTGTTCAGTTCTGAAACGCCTGCTTCCACTCGCACTGTAGAGCAGCTTCTCAGCCTTTTCAAGATTTTGGGACATGCTGTGGAGCCTGTATGGGGTGAGATGCTGTTAGTGCTTTTGCTGGCTTTTTATTGCTGATGCCTGTTATTCTTACTATCCTTCTATTGCTGCTTAAGAAGCCTTGCGCTTCTGAAACCTCCATTGTTAAATATGGATGTGCTAATGTGTTTTTATTGTCACATAATTGTACTATTGTCATGTCATGTACTGTTCAGCACATGGTCCTACCTCCATCCTTCCAGGACAGTTCCCACACTACTGCTGCTACTGTTTGGGGGAGCAGAAATTGAGGTTGGGAAGCCACTTTTTAAGTTTTTTAGATTGTTCAATTCATGGTGAGCTCTGCTTGAGTCTAGTTTTATTAGGTGAACGCTGAAGTCGGTGTTCAGTGATAAGGCTCCCTAGCAGAGAGCACTGTATAAGGAAGCACACTGGGGAAAGAGCTCCCTTTTCCTAACCAGTACTTTGATACCATCATTGGAAATAGCTGTCTACTAATGACAGATGACAGGGTTTTGTGCCTGGAGACACTGTAAGCAACTGTTAGTTACAGCACAAATGTCTTTTTCTAAACAGTTCTTTCTCGTTAATTTTAATATATGATTGAAATTGCTTTCAGTTAGAGCACTGTGTCTATTTTAAGTAGGTCTGAGGCTCAGGGAAGCAACATGTGCAAGAATAGTTTTCACAAATAATTGCGAACATTGTCAAAACTGCATGGGTTAAAGCCACAGTGACTACATCTGTAAAATCAGCTGGAGAGAAAAACATGACCCAAGTAGTTTGGCTCATTTGCTCCTGTCAGGAAAAAAGCGTTTTTCTTTAAATACATCTACTTTGGATGTAAACACATTTAGTGAGCTTGTAACAACTCCATACTAAGGCTGTTTCTTCCTTTGATGTGTAATTTTTGCATTTAAAGGAAGAAACTAAGGAGAAAAAGTGTTCTTAATCAGAAACTCTGGTTGATTCATTGTATGATTTAAAAAAGCTATGTCTGCTTTCCTACTGTATGCTCTGAATCCTTGTGCATTTATTTAAATGACAGCAGCCACATCAGAGACATTGTGGACTCCACCCTCTCCCCCCCAAGCTGGATTAATGCCAGGACAATCTAAATTCATAAAACTGAATTCCTGCCATAGCTTATACTAACTCAGCTTGGTATGCACTCAATTTTATGAAATATATAGCACAAAACCTGTTCTTCCTCCTTGCATCTTTAAGGAAGCAACTTCAAAACATTGTGTACACACTTAACTTGGGAGACTATTATTTAAACTGATTTTTAAAAAATAGGTGGGTTATTTACATATCTGAAGAAAGATGGGCATCTGAGTAACCAAACTAGCATTTAAATTGCTAGGCATGTTAGTCAGAAGAAATGTAAGATATAAATAATTCTTTCAGACCAAATAAAAGTTTTTGCCTATGAAACTGGTTGTAGTATTTATTGAGGATGTTGGGGTTTATTTTCTTTCAGCATCTAACAAATTACCTCATCAAAAATTTTACATTTTTAAAATAATTGCTTTACCAAGATTTAAGAATCCTGCATTGAGTTACCAAACACATGCTTCAGATGTTGAAATATTTACATTGACTGAAATTAACACAAGTTTGTAAAAACACTGCATGCATCCAGTAACTCATACACATAGGCCTGCTCTGAATGGGCTCCCTAAGTTCAATGAAAGAGAGTTTGGAAGGGTTTTGTTCCATTATGGGGATAACACTAATACCATCTGACAGCTTCCCAGGAAGGCCTCACAAAGTGCTGAAGGGAGCAGTTAGCTGGGCACCAAACGGCCAGAACCACTGCTGTAGGTGGTCAGAGCTGAAGGGCTCCATTTGAAACACATCTCACATTTTGTCCAGCACTTGCTTTCTCTAGGTAAATTCTCTGTATCATCAGATAGATATCAAAAGGCTCAAGTGCTACTCAACATTACGTTAGGCAAGCATACCTCGACTGTGGCTGTTCAGCCTGCTTGCAAATAGAAAAAATCACTTGAAAGTTGGTACAGCCAGGTCAGTGGTCATCAAGAACCTGGGAAAATTGGGTCCAACGCCAGTGAATACACAGTGGAATGACTGGAGTGTGTAACCGTCATAAAACTGTTACATCTCATTGTGCTGGGATGCCAAAGCTCTGTGAATAAGTCCTTACTCAGAAAGCAAACTTGGACTAAGGAATGGTGGAAGGGGTTCCTCTCTCCCTTTCTAGCTGAGGTGGAGTTAATTTTCCCTGTAGCAGCAATCACAGTGCTGTGCTTTGCAGTGGTAGCTAGAAAGGCATCAATAACACACCAGTGTTTGGCTGCTGCTGACCAGCAGCAGCGCTCGCACAGCATCGAGGCTGTCTCAATTGAAAATTCTGCCCCCCAACCACTGGGCTGGGGGTGGGCAAGATCTTGGGCTGGGACACAGCCAGGACAGTTGACCCAAACTGACCAAATGGATATTCTGTACCATATGATGTCTGCTCAGTGATAAAAGCTAAGAGGGGGGGGCATTTGTTATTACAACATTTGTCTTCTGGACCAACCACTACATGTACTAAAGTCCTGCTTCCCAGGAAGTGGCTGGACATTGCCTACTGATGGGAAGTAGAGGGCAAATCTTGTTTTCCTTTGCTGTATTAATCTGCCTTTATTTTGACCCATGAGGTTTTTTTCCTATCTTACTTTCTCCCCACCCTGCTGAGAAGGGGAGTGATAGAGCAGCTTGGTGGGCACCTGGTGTCCAGCCAAGGTCAACCCAACACAACCAGCCATGGGACTATGAGGAATACGATGAGGTAGCATCTCTCTCCAGAAAGAGAAGGCTGGACATCTACAAACCAGGTATATTTATAAACAAGAAGCCCAAGAAAAAACAAGCAAGATGAGTGATGAGTACTTATAGTCACGATGTAGGAATTAACTAAAATTTCAGGTGCCCAAACAACTCCAGAAGTTCTGTAGCACCACCTACAGATAACAAGTGGCAGTCTTAAATTCCAGCTGGAAGGTGGTTTGACTCAGCTGCCAAAAATGCTTTATTTGGCATGAGATGGAGAATGGGACAGGAGAAGACCTGGCTTTTAAGAACTTAATGTGCACTCCAAAATGCAGATTCACAAAACTGACAAAAAATTATGCCTGTAAACAAAATCTTGCAATGCTCTTTTAGCGAGCAATTCTGCATCTGCTCAGTTGGCTGTAGCTTAGTGGTGGCTGGTACTAGCAACTGTCTCCTCAGAATCACCCCCGACAAAGCTCATGTGCCTGTTGCTGCAGGGGCTTGAGGGAGCAGGCTCTCCTGGGATCAACTTTTTGCACAGGACCATGTCAGTCTCCTGCCAAGAACTGAGAAGGTGGCATCTAGCTGAGACGCAAAAGGCATCCTGAGCTGAGAACTGCAGCACTTGGGGCACTCCCTGAAATAAACGTGAACCCAAAGAACAAGCTTGCTTCTAAGGACACTAAACTTCAGTGACCCCAAGTCATGAATCTAGAGTCTTTGCAATAAGTGTACTGTACAAATGCTACGCTAATTCATCTCCAGCAATACACCCCAAATTAACAAATATTTTTCCATCTTACAGTTTCTATATGTTCATCTCGCCAAACAGCCTAAAGAGTCATTGAGAAAAGCCCATATTCTGATATTATGGAGGACAGAAAAGCCCACAAGGAAAGTAGTAATTCCTCCTTCAGAGCAGAATTCAAAAAATATGCAATAAATAAGGCACAAGCCAGACAAAAAGCATAACAGAAAATTTGCAATGGTTGTTCAGAAGTAAATGTCTGCCAGGAAGACAGGGACTCAAGAAAAAAAAAAGAGAAAAAAAGACTAATCATATCACATACATCCATAGATTAATTTAAGACTGTCAAAAATAAGATGGCAGCCCACCCCATGTCTTCTCCTACTTTGAAGTGTTTCCAACATTCATACTCTTTTAATACAACTGTGTGGATAATATAACAATCTTAATAATTCCAGGAAATCAGAGCAGGTCAAAGTACAGCCATTATCATTAAAACTTTTCCTTTCCTTGCTTGTTATTTTAATAGTCAGAATTGTTTAATCACTTAGACATTTACACCCAGTAAAGCACCACACGAGATTCTGTAAAACTTTAATTTATTCCCCTCCCACGTATCCAGAATAGAAGACCGTCTTAAGTTGAAGAAAAATGTGACAAAGAAATAAGATTACCAGGATAGCTGTTCACATGAAGAAGAAGAAAAAGCACATACTACCAAGGTTACACAGAAAACAACCCAAAAGTCCTATTTAATGGGATAGTGCAAGTTAACAGCATGTCTCTGGCAAGGATACCTTCATTTGGATTATAAAAGTTTTACAGAACAGAGTTAGATCAAGAGTCTGGATGGGTCTCTGGTATTTTACTATAGTATTAGGAACGTACTGTTTGAAAGATGCTGTACAGAATGACCCACCAAACAAATGTATTTACAAGCCTGGGGAGAAAAAAAAAATTATTTTTGTTTATTCAAAATAAAAATACACACAGAATTATGAAAATATAGGTTTACTATTTCCACCACACAGAAGTCAATGCTGCTGTCTGAAAGGCTTGCAAGATTATTTCAAGTTTTTTTAAAGTTCATCTTTTTCCCTCAATAAGGTGTACCTATGTTCACTGGGTGCCAATTTCTGGAATGAGCTCTCTGGTGGGCTGCTTGCTAAATCCTGAATTGGCTGAAAAACAGAACAAACAGTGAATTGCTTGTTAGACTGATTGTAATAATCACTTCCATTAAGTGAACTTCTAATGTTAATTATGTGAGTGCACAAATGTCCAGCGTTTTCACAAACTGAGGGGGCTTATTTTGGGAGGAATATTATAAGTGTCCCCCTCCCCCCATTAATGAATCAAGCACCATCAGTTAAGGATATTCCTTTTGTTGGTAACAGCCATCACACAAGTTTCTGTACAAGTGACTTAAAAGTATTTCAAATGCACCCCACTGTATTATTTGAGTCTAACACTTGCTTTGAAGGTATTCTAGTCTGTGTGTTTGTTTTTGAGATACACCAGCGCAAAAATGGCATTGCTGCCAAAGTGTTTTAGAATTCATTTTCTATGGAAACTAAAAAAAAAAACCCCAAACCCACCAAATGTACAATTCAAGGGACATACATGACCTAGGACAGCAGCCTCCAGATTAATTAAGGCCAGAATTTCCACCGCACATGCACACACATCTTCCACAAGATGGCAGGATGCCATACTGAGATAAACAAGTAAACATCCCAGGTCTGGTGTGCATTTTTCAAGGCAGAATGTAGACAAAAGCAAGCCTGCAGCTCTAGGCAACAAGCCTATGCCCAGATCCAGGGACTCAGCAGGCTTCCTCCCTGCCTGGCCAAGGCTCTTCCACACTGCAACTGACTCTGAGTCTCTCTTCCTCACACATGCCTGTCTTGCTCTGAGCTGACCGACTGCCTGGCCTACGCCTCAGTCTCGAGCCCTATTTTCTGCATCTCCTCCTGTTGACCTAAATTCTGGTTTCTCAGTGAATTCCTGAGAATCACAGGGAGTTACCAGTTAAATGAATTACTGCCGAGACAATTCAGCCTGCATGTTTTCACAGACAGTCATGACAATATTGAAAAGCAGTCATCTCCAGGCCCAAGGCAAGCCCTCCAGGGCTTTCATGCTTTTAAATCTTTCAACTTTGAGGAGAACAACAGAAGGCTGCACTCACACAGCTTAGCATATCCCACAGATGACCAGGAAAATGAGCCTGTAGCCATAAATCACTTCTGTCCCTCACCCACAGGTTCTGGGATGGCCCAAGGCACCCCAACACAAGGGCACCAGATCTCCTCTGGGACCAACATGGCTCTCTGAGTCCTAGATAATACAACATATAACTTCAGTGTTTAGAAAAGTTACTTCTTCAGAAAGTGCCTGAGGTAATGAGAAATTTATCTGACAGGCTAATACATTTGCACTTCTCAGCATGACACTGAGGGTGCTCGCCAAGCCGCTTTCCATCATTTATCAGCAGTCCTGGCTGACCGGGGAGGTCCCAACAGATTGGAAATTGGCCAATGTGACACCCATATATAAGAAGGGTCGGAAGGATGATCCAGGAAATTACAGGCCTGTCAGCTTGACTTCGGTGCCCGGGAAGCTGATGGAGCAGCTCATCCTGAGTACCATCACACAACATGTGAGGAACAACCAGATGCTCAGGCCCAGTCAGCATGGGTGTGTGAAAGGCAGGTCCTGCCTGACAAACCTGATCTCCTCCTCTGACAGGGCGACCTGCTTATTGGATGGGGGAAAGGCTGTGGATGTTGTCTACCTTGACTTTAGCCAGGCCTTTGACACCATTTCCCACAGCATTCTCCTGGTGAAACTGCCTGCTCACAGCTTGGATGGGCACCTGCTTTGCTGGGTGAAAAACTGTGTGGATGTCTGGGCCCAAAGAGTTGTGGTGAACGGAGTTAAATCCAGTTGGCGGCCGGTCATGAGTGGTGTCCCCCAGCGCTCGTTGTTGGGGCCACTCCTGTTTAACATCTTTATTGATGATCTAGACAAGGGGACCGAGTGCACCCTCAGTCAGTTTGCAGATGACACCCAGTTGGGTGGGAGTGTTGATTTGCTCGAGGGCAGGGAGGCTCTGCAGAGAGACCTGGACAGGCTGGAGCCATGGGCTGAGCCCAACTGGAGGAGTTTCCATAAGGCCAAATGCCGGGGGCTGCCCTTGGGCCACAACAACCCCCAGCAGCGCTACAGGCTTGGGGAGGAGTGGCTGGAGAGCTGCCAGTCAGAGAGGGACCTGGGGGGGGTGATTGACAGCCGGCCGAACAGGAGCCACCAGTGTGCCCAGGGGGCCAAGAAGGCCAATGGCATCCTGGCTTGTGTCAGCAATAGCGTGGCCAGCAGGGACAGGGAAGGGATCTGAGCCCTGTACTCGGCACTGGTGAGGCCGTACCTCAATTCCTGTGTTCAGTTTTGGGCCCCTCACTACAAAAAGGACATTGAATGACTCGAGCGTGTCCAGAGAAGGGCAACAGAGCTGGTGCAGGGTCTGGAGCACAGGTCGTACGGGGAGCGGCTGAGGGAACTGGGGGTGTTTAGTCTGGAGAAGAGGAGGCTGAGGGGAGACCTCATCGCCCTCTACAGCTCCCTGAAAGGAGGTTGCAGAGAGCTGGGGATGAGTTCTTTAACCAAGTAACGAGTGATAGTACAAGAGGGAATGGCCTCAAGTTATCCAGTCTAAACCTTCCCTGGCACATTAGGAAGCGTTTCTTTACAGAACGGATTGTTAGGTGTTGGAATGGGCTGCCCAGGGAGGTGGTGGAGTCCCCATCCCTGGAGGTGTTTAAGAGTAGAGTTGACATAGCGCTGAGGGATCTGGTGTAGTTGGGAACTGTCAGTGTTAGGTCAATGGTTGGACTGGATGATCTTCAAGGTCTTTTCCAACCTTGATGATTCTGTGATACGAGCTGAACAGTTTACCAAGATGATATAAGGCTGATCGAGGTACAATCAGAAAACTGGGGTGAGCAGAGGGAACTGGGGCTTATAGTGTCCTTTCTTTTCTGCCTCTTAGATTAAACTATACACTGAGGTGCTCTTGAGTTTTGTCTGGAAAAGGATCTAGTAGTTGTGTTCCAGAAGAGATCTCAGGTATGACTTCCAGGCATGTAATTATACAGCATGACAACCTTTGAGCTTCCGTGAGGAATCCAAACTGACAAATGCAGCCTGTGACCACTATTAATGCCCCTTGTTAACTGCATTAACAGAAGTAACAAGCCCTATTACTGCTTATCAATCTTTTGTTGATGGTCTAATGTGACACCTGCTTGGATTGGTGATGGAGAAAATATGTAAAATATTCTTCCCCTTAGAAGCACCCTCTCATAGTGTGACATGTGGGAAATAAAGCATCTATGACATATCAGTTTTTCCACTGAAATCACATGAGAACGTAGGAGCAGCTCTATGAGCTCAGAACAGTCATCTAGCCCAAGATCTTTTGTTCCAGTGGAATAAAAAAAAAAATTTTATACTCTTCCCTTATTCAAGGCAAACCGGTACCACACTTCCTCCTAATCTCTCCTTGCCTTTACCCAAAGGAAGAGCTAAGCAGAAGCAGCAATGTTATTCTATAAACAGATTTCGCTTTCAGGAGACTAAAGTTAAAAGTACACACACATTAGAAAGTACAGTGCTGACAGGGAGTTAAAAAGGTCTTTATTACATGGCCAAGTTAAATGTATTTGTTGTAACCTTACCTGACCAGGTGCTACATCAGTTGGATCAGGGCCGTGATGAAACTCTCTATGCAATTTTCCAGAATGCAAGTCTAGTACAAATTGCTTCAGTTTACCTGGAACTCTGGAACAAATCCAACAGAAACACCCAGGTGTTTATTACGAGTTAAGTCCAAACACAGAAGATTTAAAGTGCACAGTTTAGTAGCCAACTTCTGTTTATCTAGCACACTGTGTCCACTTTTAGGTGATTAATAGAAGACAGGAAGCCAAATAGTTTGTTAAGGTACCCTACCAGCTTCTTTTTCTTTCCACTGTCTCTTGAGAACACAGCAAGTATTTCATCTTTTCAATAACTCCCACAGAGTTCTACTAGCCGATAACTTCATTGTGTACTCCCTTCAGCTCCCCACTAACCATAATGTAAGAGAGAACAGCAGGTTCCAAATGCACAGTTTACAGATACAAATGACAGTTGGGTAGCAGTATTGACAAAACATCTTTGAAAGGCTCTCTAGTGCCTGAGCAACTTCATATACACTACAGATAAGCACTAAGAGGATATCAATGTAAATCTAATCTGAGATCATCTACTGTCACCCACAGCAAACGTGCTAAACTACAGCATCCAATTTTATTTATGAAACGTGAAATAGATTAAAAAGCTTAAAATGAAGACTTGACCTAATAAGTATTAAAGATGAGATAAACTATAACATGAGCACTATGCATGCAATCAAAAGGTAATGTATGAACGGAGAAAGTTTTTGTAGGGAGTCTTTCATCAGACCAATTATTACATTTAGGAAAGAGGGACAAAGTGTGGTGAGACAGGCTATCAGCAGTATTTCAGATCATTAAATTATACTACATTTTATCCATGGAGTTTTCTAGAGTCAGAGGTTATCACTTCAGCAATCACTGTAACTAATCAGTATTACAGTGGTACTTTGAAGGGTCTTCTCACTTTCCAGATAAAATGAGGGATTAGTACTACTGGAGAGAAGGGGGTTCACTCCAGCCCACTTGCAGGGACAGTAGAGTCACTGCTTCTTGCTTTACCTTGGGCTTCCACCCTGTTCTAGGTCAGGTACACTACTGGAGACATTCCCCTTCAAACTCTTCTCCTCTCCTAATGCAGCAAAGGCATTTGGTGCCTACAGACTCTCATAGCTCAGCCAGTTCTTCCTGAGGAGCTACAACTGATCTGTTGAACACCCCTTGTCAGCATTTCTGACCTGGAACAGCAGGATGAATAGGGCCAGGTGGCCAAAGTATAAGGAAAAATTCATTTGCCTACGAAGTGGCTATTCTCTGAAAAGACAACTCCCCAAAGAGAGAGGACTTCTTTTTGTGGGCCAGTTCTGAAAGTACTGTATCCAAACCCTATCAGTTGGTGACCACACTGAGATTACAAAAGACAGTCTGGGGCCAGTTCATAAGAGTCCAGAAAATGTACTAAAGTGGCAGAAATCCTTGCAGGTAGATGAAAGTCTCAGAATTAAGATATCTACCTATTATAACAACAACAACAACAAACCAACAACCACAAAACCCAAACAAACCAAAACCAAACCAAAAATCCAAGCCACACACACACAAAAGATCATCACCCCAGGAGCTCCAAGCTCTCCTTGTTTCCAAACTGTTTGTTAGGTATTTCTAAGTATCAGCTCAATCTCCTAGAGTAAGGTTGAATAATTATTTATCATTAAGCAACTGTCTACAATCCTGACATCTCTTTCTCATCTTCATTTGTATGTAACAACTGTATACAAACAAGCCAATAGCTGTTATTTTTTTTATAGCGTTTCACAGAAATAGAATGTGTAAGAAACATAACGTGAAAGTCTAAACTAGACATCTCTATTAACCCTATAAAAGATATTAATTTATTTTAGGTCTGTTTCAAGAATGACAATAAAAAGAGTGCCTTCAAAATGCAAATATCCCACTAATTTTTTAAAGCGCTGGCGTATGCAGTGAACATGATCTTCCAAAGAAATCAGAACACAGGGAGAAAAACAGTCACTATCAAGAGTTTCAACATACATAGTTTTAGATATTTGAAAAGCACTATTTGAGATACATCAAACAGAGACTATATTTTAAGAATAAGTCTGTGGAGAATTATGGAGAGAAGCAAGGTTTGAACCCTCCTTCCAAATGTCAACATTTCAGGTAGAAAAACGCCTCCTGCAATGGCAGAATTAGACATGGGGTTACACTCACATTGCATGTTAAGTCTGAGCTTCAAATCCTTGGCTTTGACAAAAATTGAATACTCTGAGTTTTTTAGAAGTATAAATGGGCAAAAATTTGAGTCTCAAAGCAGAGGCATCTAACCAGGACTTAACGAGCAGCGTATATACAGGTACCTCCTTTGAGGCAGAAACTGGAGTTTAACACAGGACCTGAAGACAAAGACAGAGCACTTGTCTCACGCAGAAAGCCCCTGAAGTTAACATTTAAACACCTTCACTCCTCAACTGAACCAGGGGAGACAGAACATCTGCTTCCAAGGCAGTACAACATAAAGAGACAGGCTGATGTAAAGAGGATTATCACAGTCGTATCTCACCTAAACACCTTGATGCTTCTCTCACACATATTTTATCCAGGTAACATGCCAATAATCAGCCATTTTCCAAGCTGTATGTGGAAAATTTCAGAAACCCATACAACAAGCACTTCTCTGCCAGTTTTCCATCTTTAGACTAATGCAGGAAGACTGGAATTGCACAGCAGGAAAAACCAAACCAGCAGGCTGGGCATTCTTACATGGTGAATACTACAGTAATTACTGCATACCACAGCACTTAAACATTTCATGTAGTATTTTAAACCTTTTAAAGTTAATTAATATATCTAGATAACCACTAAAAATACCATGCCAGGTTCCAGATGACTAACTACTATGGAAAACAGCAAAACTTTGAAATAAAAGAAGAGCAGCATCTAGAAACTTCTTACATAAACCAACACAACTCCATTTAAACAATGACAACACCAATTCTTATCACGTTAAGGCTCTGAACCTGAATCACATAGGCAGCTTTACTATCACAGATTTTTTCATCTTCCTATCATAGTACTGATTAAAATATGAGCATGTCCCCTCCTTAGTTCTTCTCAAATTAAAATGCACAAAGGAAAATACTTACGACAAGTCACTGAAGTCTGGAAAGACATACATGTGCCTAAAGCTATCAATGGCAATAACAGGGCAGTCAGCTGGAGTCTTCTGAATGTGGAGAAGTGGGTGCCTGAATTTATCACAGTCAGCATGAAGGAAGTTTATTGTACCTTAAAATTGTGAGCAGACAAAAATCCGTGTTAAGATTTTTTCATTATTATCTTGAAACCCTAACCACTTCCATAACTATTACAAAGGTGGAGATATTAAGCTAGATACAACATACAAAGCTTGAAAATAGATTTAAATAACTAACACCACCAAAATAACAAATTTTCTTAAAGTATTTTTGACCACAATACAAACTGAAGTTCTGTTTAATGCCCTCTGAAACTGCATTAAGTCATTTAGACAAGAAAGAGTCCTTAAATAGTTACTTACTAATAAATGGTGTATCTATTTTAATACTTTCTAGAGAACTCAGTCCTCACTGTCAAAAGTACATAAAGCTCTTTGGTCTCAAGAGCTTTAAAGCTAGGATTCTATTTGGCCTTTGTTTCCACTCTTGACTTTGCCTGAAAAAAATTATGGCAGTAAAACCAAGAAGCAGTAGTAGTTACTACAAACCTTTTTCACTTATTAACTGTCGTGCAACCTCCTGTTGGAATTTCTCTAAACTCTCCAAGTCATCTTTCATGTGGAAAAGTATGAGAAAAGGAAGGCCTTCCTCTGTCAGTTCCTGTACAAAAAACAAATGACAGCTCTCATTTCTTAAAGGTACTTGAGTGATCCCAGCAATTTTCAAATTCAGTGAGATCTCTACTTCAAAACCAGCTGAAAAAACAGGACTAAAGAGGTTAACTGCTGACCTTTCATCTAAGATAACCCAGTGATACAGTTAACCATGTTTCCTTTCTCTATTGTATACAGCAGATAAAGGATGAAGGTATTTCATTATCAACATTTCAGGAAGCGATACACTTGCACTGGAATACTTGCTCAAAAGAAATAGTCCAATTCTGAGAAATCACATCTTCATAAAAACAGAAATAAACCACGAACAACATGGTATTAAATGCTATGAAAAGCTGAGAATGTATTCTCAATCCAGTCCTAGCTTGGTTCATGTAGTAAGTTGGTGTTTTCTTAGCATAACACAATGAATGAGTATCATTAACGCCATCCTAAAAAAAAAAAAAAAAAAGAAAAAAAGATGCTAATGACATAGCTATATCAATTATGATCAAGTACTGCTCTTTTGCCAGTAAGTGTCTCCTGACTGGTCATCTGTATAACACCATTATTAAATTCACATTACTAAAATTAATGAAGAAATTAAAATCTTTGTTGGACAGGCAAGCTTTAGTTCCTCATAGAAATGCACTCTTTCAACCCTACTGCCTCTTAACAATCTCTGTAGATCTCAGAAAAATGTAGGAACTAAGAATTATTCAGGATTATACTTCTACTCAAACCCCAAACTAAACACAAACAACATGTATTTACTTGCTTCAAAAGTGACTTGTAGGCACCTCTGAATATCACCTCAACTTGCTAGAGCCCAATTGAAGAAATAATTGTTTATCATCTAACAAGTGCCTAGGGTCTTGCCTGTCTTTCATTTGCACAACTGGCATACAAGCAAGTGCTACTATTTCTTTGATTCTAGCCTGTATCAGAATAAAAATCTATGCTTTTTTGAGAAAGATAGCATTCGTTTGTTCTGCCACCAAATAGAAGATTTTATTCAGATATTTTCAATTTGCAGTAAGTTGGAAGAAATGTTTTCCATATCAGTGGGGAGCCAGTTACATAGTGTACATGAAATGGCTGTCACTCTCCCTTCAACCAAGTCTGTCAGTTAAGTTGAAGCTTGGTCTTTTAACAGCAGATTGCAAAGATCCTCATAACTTCAGAGCCCTTGATGAAATTCCAGCTTCTCAATTCATCCCTAAACCAATACTAATCATATTTGCTCATTTTCATTTTTACACACGTGAATTTGGCTGGGTCTCAGCCTCCTGTCCTATCAGAGTGTGGAAAAAAGACTGTTTTGTACCACTATGATTATAGCTCCATTTCCTCACTTGTTTTAGCAGGTATATTTCCAGAGGGAGAACTCCCAAATAGAGCTTGGTATTTCAGCTCTAAGCTCTCCCTCTTGCTTGAACAGCTAAAAGGACAACCTCAGTGATCTATATTCACAAGATCAATTCATCTCCAAACAGGTTGTTAGGACAGCTGGCTTGAAAGCCTTGCTAATTTTGGCCCTAACTGGTTTCTATAAAGTACCTTTCTTTGTTTGCTTTTCTATTTCAGCTTTCATAGCATGTCTTACTGATCCGGACGAGGCAAGTGGAATAGCTATTTCATTTGCTTTGGAATGCTCCTTCAAAAGCTACTGTCTTATTTAGCACTGAGAATATCAAAAGATTTTTCATTAGATCTGAGCGTCCCACATTACTTCTGTATGCCTTTGAGAAACTTTTTACCCTTTCAAAAACTTACAGTTCAGCACCATCATTAGACCACATGGTTCACTGTGTTCACGTAACACAGAACCAAACAGACTGATTACAGGTTAAACAGTGATTTATTCTGAATGATATTACTGATACTGACAGCCTTTTTTTGTAAAGTACAGAGACTGTCTCTCAAATGGACAGTCTTCTGAATCAGAAGACCTTGCTACAGAGTTCAATTACTATGTGTTTTCTAAAGTCACAATGATGAACTCTGTTCAGATTGAGCAGACCTGCCAGGAAGATGTCCATGATACTTGTCAGATAAGGAACACAGTAAGAAACAAAATGAGGGAAAAACCTACCAGCAGCTTAACAGAGGCTAATTTTAAAAGTGAATTTAAAGTCTGCAGTAGAATTTTTTTCTTTATCTTATTTATACAGTATTCTAGTACTATTAACATATCTTAACAGTCACTGCACTTCATATTTTTACCCTGTAATATTGTGCAGTATGCATTAAGAGCCCATTTAAATATTGTACAATCTCAGCAGGCAGAAGTATCTCAATTTTGGCGTGTTTAAATTTGTTTGGGTACTGGCAGCACTGAAAATTTTAAACAAATGTTGCTAGGCAAAATGTCACATTGGAATTGTAAATATCTGCTTAAGTAAACAGGAATCAAGCAAGGGTTGAGAGAACAACGAGAAAATCCACAACACAATGTGGTAGAAGTTGACAGCAATGAACCTTGGCTTCTAAGGCTCAGAATCCAATTTCACCATGGGAAAAGTACACTAAAAATCTACCACACGCTTCTAAAAATGTTAACATGTGACATCTTTTACATATTGAGTTGCAAATGAAGAATTAAAATTTGTTTAACTAACAGAACTTTCCAATAAAAGTTGTCGGGGTTGACTAGAAGACTGTACTTGAACCATTTTGTGCATCCCACTCTGTCCCTCACTCTGCCATGTAACCTGACGTGTTGCATGTGCCAGAACAGCAGTGTTAAACACTACAGATTCAGGATAAAAAAAATCCTTAAGTGTGCAAACTGAGAACAAATCATATGACTGATTCTTTGGTTTCTAATCCAGTATGGACAACATACTTCAATTTGTTACAAACCTCACCAGAGCTTCTAGCAGATGCTGTGGCTACGTACAAATACTTTTCTTTAAGATACTACAAACTTGGTAATTTTCTGAAGATTCTTTTTCCCCCACATTTGTTATTTTACAAAAAAAAATAAAATAATTACAATATGAAGCTGGAAACAGATGAAAGAGGATTAAGTTATAAATGAAAACAGGAAAGTATTGAAAGAAAATAAGGATAATGAGAAGAAAAGAGATGTTTAGAAGCAAACCCCGAAATTCCATCTTACATGTTAAGCTAAAAGAAGAAAGTCGAGGGAATGAGCATGTGAAGCTAAAAAGATTAAGAAGGTACCAGTGTTTAAACACAGATAGACACAAAAATTTCACGTGGTGTTTATTGCAATTCCCAGAAGACTGTCAGTTCTGCAGATAGTCAGTCACCATTTAATGTGCTTATTTATTAGATAATGCTTTGGAAGTGGTTAATAGAGTAGCATTTTTCTACTACTAACTTTAACATTGAATTTTAAAAGCTGATTATAACTAAAAGATAGTTCACAACTATTTTTCAAATTGTCATGGACATGTTCACATGGATATTTTCTACTCTGACTAGAAGCATTTTTTCAAGATCATAATAAAGGCAAAAAGCACTTAAATAACATCTATGTCTGGATCTTAACTCAACATTTAGTCATAACATCTGTATAAATAACATGTACTTACTTTAGATGAATAACACAACCTACCCAAGATGTTACACACCCATACAGACTTACACACACATTCTTACACATGCACATTCTTAGCATCTAAGTGTCCAGACTCTGAAAATTACCACACTTTTTATGTGATCTATATGCATGATTACCACCTCTTACTTTGGTAGTGTACTGAACTACCACAAAGCCACCTCCAGTGAATTCCAAGTGTAACCAAAAAGCTCCAAAAGAACAGAAAGACGTTACCTGACAGGTATTTTCTGCCAAAAGTAAAGCATGCAGAAAGCTCTTTGGCATGGATTAGAGACCTTGAAAAAGACATTTTGGTTTTGAGAAAGAAAACTTAACAATAAAATGGTAGAAAAAATTCTTACCTCCCCATTTTCAAACGTAATTTCTCGAACTAGTGGTACACATTTATCTTGTGTCCATGCATAAATCAAATCAAAATTGGTTAGCGAGCCTAAATACACCATATCTGGAGCATTTTCCTGTTGAAAAAAAAAATCCATACTAGTTGAGAAACAGTAACAATGACATTGCTATCTGCAAAGATTACCTACCCAATAAAGTAACAATATCTATATAAATATTGAAAGCCAATCTTATACCAACACTTAACCCCTGTGCATGCAACACTTCTATTAACTAGGTTACAGAAGTACAACAGGAATATAAATATTATATATGATCATTTATGCAGTCAACTCCACTTTAAAAGACAACTTAAGAATTGAAAAGATACTTTGTTTCCAAATTAGGGATGCTTCAAATAAAGGCTCTGTGTACTTTTGTTACATTGAGAAATAGTATCTCCATACCTAAAAAACCTACCTAGATATAAACTAAATGCAGATATTACACTGCTTCATGCTGAGTTACAAAGACTCACCAAAAAATCCCTCCTCCTAATGTCCTACAAAACTTGAAGCTGGTATTTAACATTTGCTCTGCCAAAGAGATATGAATAAATAATAGTTTTTCTTTATTTGCTATTAGTTTTAATTCAGAATTCTGTGCTGCCATCTTTTAATGTAATTACAATTTTGGTTAACATGAAGCATGATTTTGCAAGCTGTGGCCATGATTAAGTACACCTTAATTCAGAAACGCCATATAATTAGGTAACCTAATAAATTATGGTTTTGAAGAAAAACTCCCTCCTTAGGCATTTTTAAAAATTATTTCTCTTTTGTAAGCAAGTCTTATCATACATTCAGTTTAAGAAAGCAGATTTCCAGATAGTATTATATTTCTGAAAACAATTCTTACAGATTTTCTTCTGTACTGAATTATTTCTCAGGTAACACAATGAGAGTTTGTTAACATACCATTATTTTACATCTTTTTTAAAAATGAAAACAACAATCTGTGGTGGCTAAGATACACAAGCCAGGCAAGTGACAGTCAGAATACTTAGTAATTGTCACCTGCTTTGAAAAACATGAATTGCACCAGCTGTTAAACTTCACAGATTTTGAAGGCTTCTACAGAATGCGAAGTATCAATACACATATGATAAGCTGACTGTGTTTGTAAGAAAAAAAAAAAGTGTTCTGGACATTGATATTTAAAATTATATATTTCAGTTTCGTGCACTTAATTTGCAAAAAAAGGACACTGAGATCTTTTTCCCTGACTTGAAAACACTAGGTCCTATGATGCTATTTCTCACACTATTTAGTGATGAAATAAAACTAAGGTTTGAGATGCAGTAACATACTGAATAATCTGAATATATCCTCCATTTGTTTATATTCACATATCATGACAATAAGCAGAATAAAATACATAGTTACACTTACCCCTGGTGGCTTGTAGATTACATTGTCTCCGCTAAATCTCTCTGCTTTTGAAATAGCCCTACAACAAACCAACCAGTAAGCATGTCTTGGTACAGACAAATAAAATAACTGAGATACCAAAAATCATATTTTAATTTGCTATCCTTTCTTCACTACTTATTTTTCCTTCAAAATCTGAGAAATAAAATCCTTGATCTTTAAACTGCAAAGTGACTCCACAGAAACTTGACCTGGCTAGACAAGTGGGCATTAAGGGAGTCAGCAAGCTGTATCCCTAAGATTGGAAATGTGGACTAAAGACATTGAAGTGCAAGTGATGAATGCCAGTACAATTCTGGATGAGACACCAGCAGAGAAAAATGATAATGAATTAATATAATAATGTAAATTAAAAAAAAAAAATCTTAAGGAAGGACAGGAGAGAAATGTTTGCATTTATTCTTCCCATTCCCTTGTTTACACTAGAAATTTATGGCTTATGAACTCTGATATAAGGAAGGGCTCCAAGGCACTCTACCAGCATAAGCAATGAGAAAATAGACAGCAAATAAGCCAACACAGTCCATTTTACCCTCAAAGCAGATCTAAAGAGCTCGAAACACAGCATGCAGTTCCTCCTTGCTATTCAGCTTACTATGTCACCTTATTAAAGTTCTTTCCCTGCCTCTGGAACATTTTGTGGTTCCTTAATCCCAGTCACAACAGAGCACCCTGAAAACTGCTATCTTATACCCCTAAAATTATCATTTCTTATTTAAACAACTGGGGACAGCTATGAATCCAACAAAGCAGATAGGGAAAAAAAAAAAAAAAAAAAGGGAAAGAAAGCTCTCAAAGATAAAAAACCATTTCACTCACTTTGGACATTGAAAGAGGCCTCCTCCCCTCTCCCATGCCTTGCCATTCCAACATAACTCATGCTGGCAAGACAGAACTGTCTGGCTCCATATGCCACAAAAAGAGTAAAATGAACTACCTATTTCTTTTTCTTTTAGGATAGGCTAAAAAGAAAGCATGTCAGCCTCTGGGAAACGTTACCTAAGTGTTCCAGCTTCTCCAATTATAATATCTTTTCTGTGGACTCAATATAAGCATTGGTGAAGACTGATTAAGAGATGTAAGGGGGATGGAAAAAAGAAGTAAAATTATCTCAATTTATCTCACTGCAAGATGAGGTAAATCTTCCAGGGGTGTGAACAATTTAGAGGGCCAAGAAAAAAAGAAAAGATATCATAAGGCTTAACTCAAAGTACCTACGTTTTATTTATTTAATTTGACCCAATGATCCTTTTCTTATCACATACAAAAGACATCTTGCATAGTACGTTAGACCTATCAGTATTTGCACCAGTTTAGAGATGTGTATTTTAAAATGCATTTCTGTATTCCAGACACAATGACTGCTCCAATCACTGCTTGGTAAACTGATAATAATCTATAATGAAATATATGCTCTAGGGTAAGCTTGTGGCAGAACCCAAAAGTTCCTCTTCTGTGTTCTTCCACCTCAGTAGCTGCAGCTGTGACCGATTTCTTTCGGATAACTCCAAACAATGACATGAGAATCCCAAATGCCTGAAGATACACCTTTTTAAAATAAGTACCAAAATGCAAATGCTTCAGTTGCCATTTTCTCTCTTCTTGAAGCAGTAATGTAGGTAAACCTCTTGGAATCACCCCTCACTCCTGTATTTGCTTGCTAACATGAAATTAAAATAGTTCCTAGATTCATCACTCTCTTCCACAAGTTACGTATGGTTCATCATAGCCTTTTAAGATAAAAGTAATTTCTGGCTGTTTATTTTGGTTTTCTGCTTTTGTCTTCCTAGACTTGTGGCTCAGTGGCACAAGGCCATTCTCTTCATGTCTACAAACATTTCAGATTTATCCCCCTCTAGTTCTAAAATCTACCTCTAAATCTCATCGGTATCCCTCCTATCTCCTTCTGTTTACAAGTCTTCTCTCATTAATCTTGCTCTGTGGTCACCTCAGATCTTAACAGAACTGTAAGGATCAGTTGATTTAAGAATAGTTTTAAGCATCAAGATGATCTGCAACTAAGTACCATTAATACAGTTTAATACAGTTAATACAGTTTAAAAATAAGCTATTACAACTACCTAAAACCAGAATTTTGGCATAGCAGGGAACAGTTCTGCCTTGACAGAGGTTAGTGCAGTATTTTTTTCATGTCAAATTGATTGCTGTGAGTTTATTTCAGCTTAGTAGAAGCTTGAACACGACAGCTCACCTTACCATATACCTCCCAAACCATATACCTGTAGAAGTCTGCCCATAGCAAAACCAAAAATCCCTCCCAGGGGCTGTTAGGATGCTCAGTCAGAAAAGTTAGACCAATCAATGCCAGCTCCCCATGAAACAGTGTGCTATATATAATCTGAATAGGAAACACTGTTATATAGCCAGTATCTCCCTCTGAAGTCTCCTCATATATAATTTTTTAGTAAGTTTGAGAGCCACAGACCCTCAGAGATGAAAACATTTAGTTTCTAAGGTTGCTGCCTGGAAGGTTGCACTTTAAAACACTAACAGCTCCAGGCTAGAAAGGGAACAGGGATCTGGAGAAGAGAGTAATGAGAAGCTGGCTGCGCAATCTGTAGTTAGATGGGCAGGTTACAAATAATCAAACTCTGATCTGTTCCATCATGTTTGCTTACTGCTTATATCTAAAGAAAAATAATAAAAAAATACTACTTCAAGAACAGCCTCCAACAACCAAATGCTAACAAAGAGTGGTGGGAGACTATTTCTCATTATATGAAGTTGACAAATAGTAAACCAAAGATGAACAGACTCAAACAACAGGAGAGAGAATCTTAAAAGTATTGTTATCTTACTAATGTTGTTTTAAAAAGCATTCTTAAAAAAAGAATCATACAAGGGGGCAAAAAAAAGAATTAAAATTTTAATAACTCTTCAGACTGGCTGCCCCAAGAACAAGTATGGATGCACTCATCAGAAAACATCTGAGATAATGGCCACTCTTTAGCAACAAGGCCAACAGACCTGCAGATCACAGATTTACTAGATTTGATTCTTCTCTCATGGCCAAGCCTGCTTACACAGTCATAGGATCCATAATTGGGAACTGAAAGAAAGGAAAACCACACATACTACTGGACATTACAAATACTCTTCCCTACCCCTAACTTTTTTTTTTTGGAAAAGGTATCAGTGACTGACAACAAATTTTATTCACACAGATAAAATTTTCTACCTTGATACTTCCCCTACAAAGAGCTCTTAGGGCAACTGTATGTAATATAACCCATGCAGATTCTTGATCTTGCAACTGTGGGTAAACTGCAAACCACTGCATTCACATTAATGCCCAATCATTTTAAATTGAGTGGTGCAGGCACATTAAACACTGCAGAATCTATAAATTTTTCTTATGCTACTTAAATGGGACTCACTCCCAATTTATTCTTCTTCTTCCAGTGAAGATCTTCTAATATTTTAAAATACTGCTGTAAATCTGTATAACAAGGAGAAATTTGAATTTCTGTAGGTTGTTCTTCTAGTCTTGGACTATGTAGCTCATCATTGCAATTGCTTTTCTAAACTGTTACCATGTGCAGTGACATAGAACTCACATGAAACAGACCCAGGCACAGAAATGAGGAATTTTGCAACTAGGTCCTCTCCTCAGACATTAAGAGGAAATGAGCAAGCAACTACTGATTTATTCTTTACAGAAAAAGAGGAAGGGAAAAAAAGTTCAAACAAAACAAAACTAAAAACCCTATAAAAATGGTCACATTTTAAAGTGAAAAAATTAAGAGGTTGAAAAAAAAGTTACTCAGTCTGCAAAGCTGATTGAAAACTTTCTGGCAAAAAGTTTTCAAACTCTTCCCTACTTGTTTTCCTTTCCCTCCAAAGATGAAGGTTTTTGGGACACAACTGTCTAGTATCACCCCCAGTTACACTTAAACTATACTGACTAAGAGTGAAAAAAAGAAAAAGGAGGCAAAAACCTAAAGTTGGCTTTCACGGCAAACATTAAGGCTAAGAGGAGTTTTATCCTCCTATCCTTCTCTATTTATTTGTTAAAGTCTAGTCTCTTTAGTTATGCCACACTGAAAGTATTAAAAGAAGTCCATTCAATTAAGTTATCTACAACTCATTAACATAATTTCAATAATGAAGTCATGCAATCAACAAATTTTAAAACTTACCCAAAGGCAGACAGGAATACACAATCATCATGCAAAATATTCGCTACTCTTTCAAAGGTTCTGTAATTGTCAGAGTCCTTTTGCTCGAAGTATCCAACAATATTTCTTCTGCTGCGCTGTAAAAACAAAGGTTAAATTATAATTTACCTTAAATTATCAGAAACTACCATTACTCCCTAAGGATATTAAATACAGAGGTGCCATTCAGTCAACAGTCAGTAACTCTGCAGAAGTTATTTCTGCCTTTACAGAAGCAACCTTGTGAATATTTTTTCAGTGAGGATTATTAGAATAATCTTGTCAAACACAACATATGATTTTTTTCACATTATTAAAAGTAAAGTAAGTAATTTGGTGGTAGAATTATTGCTACAAAATGAATGCAGTTGGAAATGAATGTATTGGAATAATTTATAATCCTGGAAATGATCCAGTTTATCTCTCAGTATAAAAAAACCACCCACCCATTTCTGAATGGAAAAACCAAGTAAATATGTACTTCAAATACATTATGTTTTACCAATTCGACATAAAAAAAAAAAAAAGGAAAAAAGAATATATTTGGAAGGAATAAAATTGAAAGACTTACATCAAGAGAACTAATTTCTTCCAAATCCTGGACCTCCCGAATAGGGTTACTCTTCTGCTGCCTGATATAATCTGCTATTGCTGTCACAGATCTCTGGCCCCTGTATTCTCTCTTCATCATCATTCCATTCCGGAAGAGTTTCAGAGTTGGATATTTGCTTATCCTGTATCTCTGAGCTATATCCGCTAAAAAGAAATTAAGACAATAAAACCAAAACCTTACAAATACACAAATACATGGAGCATGGTATCTTATACATGCATATGTGTGCACATAAGTGAAATCTCTGAACCAGTAGTTCCACATCTTTCAAACAAGACTGAAAAAAACCAAAACGTCACCACAGGGGAGAAAATGGATAGCAGTTACAGTATTTCTCACATGTACTGATCTTCATTAAAAAAAAAAAAAAAAAATCATGACCAAAATCTGCAGTAAGTAAACACTTGACTTAGTCAGCTATACTCATTTAGTACATTTCCTACAAACCACTAGGAAAGCCAATTCAAGAACCTAACAAGAGCATTAGAATCCTAAAAGCTTGCCAAATTTCAGTTAATTAATTCACATGAAAGTATTAGAGACAAATAAATAATCCCCTATTTTTCTTTAAACTCACCATGATTTTGACCTCAATTACAGTGCTGGAAATATAATTGTCGTGTCTTAAATTTTAGAGAAAGTGAACCCTGTGCAAAATATTTCTTGAAGACTATGAAGGCCAGAAGACTGCTGTTGTCGTTCTGAGCTGTTCAGGTTTTGAACGAACACAAAATTTCAGGTTTCTAAGTTAAGGCAAACACCTCTCTGATCAGTCAGTGTCATCATTCCCTTCAAAACAGTTCTTCATTCACTTCTATATATGCAGCCCAGCTTTCTTGTAGATTTGGACTGCACAGAGCTTCATACAACTAAGTAACACGTATTTCATTCACTGAGTATAAGAGCACTAGTTATTTTCACCTTTATATAACAGGTCAATTTTTAACTCTAAATTATTTAGAAGACTTACATTAAAAAAAAAAAAGATATTTTACATTAAATTAGAAGAGCTGCAAAGAAGAAAGCTAAGCGGAAGCAATAAAGCCCAGTTTCCCGTGGATGTGCACCCCGTGCGCCTTATCTTCAACCACTACTAAGGCAATAAACCAGTTCTTCACTACACTCCAGAGTATTTCAAGTGTCCCTTTGTCTCTCTCTTCAACTTCGGTTAATCATTAGGACACAGCAAGTTGCAATAGGTGTTGCAGCCAGTTCCCAGCTATGCATTGTCAGGGAAACTTCTACATAACCATCAAGTGGTTCATGGCACACGGATCCATCAGCCTCAAGTCTTTACAGCGACCTTTGCTACAGTGCTGAAATTGGTTTTGTGCATCTCCAATAACTGCTTTAAATCAAAGTCTGTATATGTGGTTGGAGTTCAGCAAAAAACTTCAAGGAGTTCTTATGAGAAAGGACTGCAGAAACAAGGTAACCAAATACAAGGTAACCAAATACACTTTGGATTCTTCGGAAAACAAGGCTGAAGACAAATAATAGACACAAAGTATGTAATGCCAAGTAGATTTCTACAAGCAATTTCCTTTGTTTAATTACACCCTCCTGTTCACTCCTCCCCTGGAAATATATCTGGAAACAAAAAAAAAATCTCAAAGCCCCTCTGAAAAGTGGGTCTCCTATTAGAGTGGGATGCAGTTTACCTAAACGTCAATCATGTTTGTACCTAAATCCAACAAAATCCCAAAATATGAGCTGTCTGCCCACTTTCCAGAGGTGCTTAATCCTTTGAGGTGACTTATTCTAGTCAACCACAGCCACCCCACTTTGCCTTCTCCCTTTCTAAGGGAAAGGGAGAGACAGTGACCTTCAACAGATCAATTTATCCTTTGGAGACAGAACTTTCCAGTCAACTGAGAGAGGAAGACACTGAAAGCATGGCCTGAATGTTTGTCCTGTTACTTTTCACTGACTCTTTAGAAGTCCAGGGGTACACTTCAGGTGACCTGGATTGACCCACAGCAAGACGGACAACTAAATGAGGGCCTATCAGCCTACCTGGCACAGTACCAAAAGATATAAAAACTAATCCTTTCTAAGAAGAATATCCTTTCTTCTCAGTTACATGTTTACGATGAAGCAGATTTGCTTTCTGTCTTACACTTAACTCTTTTTTCAAGAGAATGGAGACAGAAGTCCTGTGAAAACTATGATTTAGAGGCAGTTGTCATGAGCAAACCGCTGATACTAGGCAGCTAACATACACCTCTCAGTTGCAAAACAGAATTAAAACCCGGTGCAACTGGAAATAAGCCATTTCCCTGTGGAACTGTGCCCATAACTGTTCTCCAGCACACAAAACTCTCCACTTCTTTCAGACTACTAAGAGGTAAAAAAAAAAAATAAATCTGAATTCCCTGCTGCCTGGAGAACTCTTAGTGAAACCATCAGTAGTTTTAATTTCTGCTAAAACACTACTAACCTCTTTCAGCTTTAGTCACTGAAAACAATCTTTGTACCAGCTGCACAACTTAAAGGAGTGGGAGAACTGAAAACAACAGGTGCACAGCAAAGGAATAAGAACCAGGTCTACTTCACACAAATATTCTTTAACATCCCTCAAACCAGTAAGCTTAAAAGCTTCACCAGCTAAGCCCAGTTCCTAACAAGGTTTGCATCATTATAAAATATCACAGAATTCAGCCTATCCATTTTAACTAAGGACTTGACCTGTTTCCTAAATATCCCAAAAGAGCTTCTTCTTAATGCACTAATTACAGTTAAAATGAAGGTTAAGATATTTTATGTCCTCAGAGTACTTTTATTTCAAATTAATACAAATTTCTCAAGGAAAGATGCCAGTATATTCAACATTAATGAGCATTAGATCAATAGTGTTTTCTTCCTTTAAATTCCATCACTACTTAGTTAAAGTACTAAAGGGTTGCCTGCAAGATGGCAATACAGCAGGGGAAGAATCACTTTACATTTGCTCAGTGGAAGACAAACAACATCAGCAAATTAAGCATTTGCTGCCCCTCTCTCCTGTTGATGGAAGGACCTTTGGTCTGATGGTATATTAGTCTATCAAAACTTGACCAGGGTCTGATAAGAGATAAGGAGCACTACATATCAAGGCTTTGAAGAAACACATTGAGTTACTACTATTATTGTTACTGACTTTAAACAGTAACATTGACTGTTGCAGAGCTCCACAGCAAGTAACAAATAAAACCACATTTTTGTTTTGGTCTCACAACATGCACTTTTCCTTCAGGTTATTTCCATAGTTATAGGAGGATGTACAGGTGGAAGAATGGGCATTCAGGGGGCCTTGAATGTTCTCCGAGATGGAGACTGCAGTCCCTAGGGATGTGGATCTTCATCAAGTACTGAAGTTTTGTAAAAAAAAATAATGGTAATAAAATGCCCACTGTCAAGACTGAATTCAAACATTATTTCATAAGTCAGAACTTGCATGCTCTTTACAAATTACATTGAGGTTCCGTGAATACTGGTATTTGAACTAATGCAGAGAGATGACAGGCCTACACAAGTAAGTATTTGAAAACCATCTTTTTACAAAATATAAAATGCAAGTACATGAAAAATTGTTTGAATTCATTCAAAAATCAAATAGAGTAAACCTTAAAAGCTTCATTAAGCCCTGGCATTTGATACAGGTAGAGTTAGCATAAGCAGAGCAACTACAAAATTATATTCCTTTTAAAATTGGAAATACACAATGCAAATACATGGAATATTGTTTGAAGTAATTCATAGATTGCATTAGTTATAGTAAATCCTAAATTAAATTTGAAAATATTTCTGACATCCTCACTGCCCATTTTCTGATAGAGGTATTTGAAACAGATAAGGGTAACCTACCTAAAGAAAAAAAAAGTCTCCCAGCTATGACGTTTTCTCCAGGTACTAAGGTACCTAAATGGAACAAACCTTGAATTTGCATTTTGCTCAATTAATCATTAAACCACAAGCCTAGTGTCTATGCTACCAGAATGATTTTCACACTAGTTATGGTGGGAAGCTACTGACATATTTGATCATCTTCTTGTCTGCTACAAATCAGAAGTTTCAAGCAGATGATTCTCTCCTCCCTGTTTTGCATGTATACCTGTTGGCATACAACTATTTCTAAACTGCCTGGACTATTTTCTACTATGCATTCTACAAACTTCAACAGGAATGTCTTCACAGTCACTCAGTTCTCTTCACAGATGCACTGTATTGATACTTCTCAACAACTGAAGAGAAAGCAAAGCTGCTTCTTACAACAGGGATGAGACAGCAGCTTTCACTGTTGTTTCGAAAGAAACTTTTACATGAAGCCTGACAGTTACACCCATGTTTTCTAAGACAGTCTCCCACATCACCTTCCAAGCAAGATCCATGAAAACATACTTTGTGGGCTATCATTTGTGAGCTATCTTTATCGTATCTCTTGCACTTGTCAGCCATTTCTCTGTTGCCTGAGTATCATGTGTTCCTCTTCTCAAAGGAATGCCAAAACCCTTTTTTTTGGGGGGTGTGTTGAGCTTTTCACATGGTGTGTTCACACATTATCCAATCTACAGCTTCAAGCAAGCATGCAGCCTGTGACTTGATTCCCAGAACGCTTCAGACTCTATTGTTCTAGGTTAACACCGTAACACACCATCCAAAGAGTTCAACTATCGGATTGAGTTCAATATATCTGATCACGTCACGGAGAATCTCAAGTCCATTGTCACTAAATTAAATGTACAATGAAGAATATGTTGAAAAAGAGCACCGAGACACACTGTATTGAAGTAGACTCCTACCCACAATATAGTTAAGAAGTTCCTTCCCACTGAAGGAATATTTTCAAGGGTCAGGGTATCACTGCACCGCTAACTCAGGCCACTGCCTTAAGTCTTCCAGGGTCATAATTCATACCACCACCAAACAAATATTTAGATATTTAAGTCTACAGGACTGGCTCTCAAAAAAACATGTCCACTACGCTTGAACAATACTGATAATTATCCTAAATGCCCACATCATAAGGCACCACCTGAAGCAATTCACATGCCAAACAGAGGACTACAACAGCCTGAAAAATTATGTGGAAGTTCCAAGACTCAAACCCCACAAAAATAGTTTCCTGAAAATACTCTTAGTGTCCCTTTTTCTATAGAGGGTC